CTTATCCGCAACTCCTCTTATACTACTGAATAAAATTTAATGAAACTTTCACAGAATCTTTGTTACATATAGTCATTGTGTACCTTCTATTTTATTTTTAATCTGACACATATTTCGGGTTTCCACAACCCCTTCCCTTGAAAGAGGGAGGGGTGTAATTGTGAATTCTGGTATAAAATTTTTATTTGAATTATTTTCTTACTGACACCCATAATAAATTTATTTCTTCAATTCATGAACTTGAAAATTAGCTTAATTATGACTTTTAAATTTAAAGAAAAAAAATATCTCACATCTAGAACATATGATTAAACAAGATGCTCAATACAACACTGTAAAGGATCTATAGAAGTACAGTGAAATCTGTCTAATCCGACATGCACTGGGAGACGAAATTTTATTTCGGAATAGACAGGGTGTCGAATTACACAGTGTATAAAAGAACATTGAAAATAATAATAAGGGTAATGCACTGCATAGGATAATTTGATAATTTTCACTGTATATAATAAAAAAACCGGATATATGAAGATGTGTTACCCATTATCAAGAGAAATATGATGACCAGGTATCAACAAAATACTGTAGATAGTCTGGTACTCAGCAGTATTCAGTAATAAATAATAAAGTAGATTTATTTACTTGTCAGAACTAATGCATTCCCAATTGTTACTATCAACATACAAACTAAAGAAAACAATATTGCTTTAAGCAATTGGAGTAAACTCATTCCCTCTCACATTGGCCTCTCTGGGTCTTTGAGGAACATTTAATGTACAAAGATAAGGTATTTTTGTCTCATTTTTATTTATCTATAATGCACAAGTCTACCTGATCATTAAAATCTATGAAAGAACTTTTTGTATTACGCACGTACATTTAAAATTCTAGGAATTTTTCAAAGCATAAATGCATTTTCACTATATAATCAATAAAGCCCGCCCTAACAACCAGGACCCCTGATCCAGCAGCCATGAAATTCAAAATTTTGGAAGAGGCATCCTTGCTCAGCATAACTATGTACTTAGTTTATCTGCAAATACCCAGGAACAGAGAAGTAATTTTTCAAAGCATTAATGCATTTTCACTGCATAACCAATAGAGCCCCGCCCTAAACCAGGACACCTGACCTAAGGGCCATGAATTTCACAATATTTTGCATATTTTGGAAGTGGCATCCTTGTTCATCATAATCATGCACTTTCTTTGTTTGCTTAATACCCAGGAACAGAAGAGAAGATTCTCAAAGAATTAATGCATTTTCACTATATAATCAATGGAGCCCCATCCTAACACTAAAACCTCTGACCAAAAAGCCATGAAATTCTAAATTCATCATAACCATGCACTTAGTTTGTGAGCTAAATTTATAGGGGTAGAGAACAAGATTTTCAAAGAATCAATGCATTCTCACTACAGGAGTAAAAAAGGTTTGTTTTTTTTTAAAATAAAAATTGTATTAATTTTGATAGTTTTGGCCACCCTACCCCTCAGGCCCCAGAGAGGGGGGCATGGACCATGAAATTAAAATCTTTTGTCCCCCTTTGTCCATAGATATTCTACATCAAAATTGGTTGAAAATTGGTTTATGAGAAGAAGCTGAAAATATTCGGAAGCTGAAAACGTTCGGACGACGACGGGACAAAAACAGATCGCTGTTGATCACTTGAGTAACTCAATTGTCCTAAAAAATATAATTTTATTGACATGTCCTGGAAATTGTCCTGTAAATTTTAAAATTATTTTACAGTTTACAGGACACTGTCCAGTTTACAGGACAGACTGTCCGGTGGATTTTACCCTATTTCGCCATCTCTACATTTAAGGAATGAATTCAATAGCTACCCAAGTTATACTGGTATAACCTGGGTTGGGGCAGTTTACGCTTTATAAACCGCGAAGGGGTTTATAAACAAGAGGTCCATGGGCCACATTGCTCACCTGAGCATTTGGCTAGGAGTTCAGTATTTGATAAGTGGTTTTAACCTACCCCTAAGGGAAGGGGATGATTTGAACAAACTTAGATCTACACTAACTGAAGATGCTTCCAAATAAAAATGTTTAATCATGGCTCTGCTGTTCTTGAGAAGAAGATTTTTAAAGATTTTTCCTATGTATTCCTATGTAAAACTTTGATCGTCCATTGTGGCCCCGCCCCAACCCCAAGGGGCGATGGTTTGAACAAACTTGAATCTACACAACCTGAGGATATTTCCAAATAAGTTTCTCATCTTTTCCAGCCCAGTGGTTCTGAAATGGAAGATTTTTAAAGATTTTCCCTATATATTCCTATGTAAAACTTTGATCATTCATTGTGGCCCGCCCCAACCCCGGGGGTAACGTTTTGAACAAACTTGAATCTTCACTACCTGAGGATGCTTCCGTATAAGTTTCATCTTTCCTGGCTTAGTGGTTCTAGAGAAGAAGATTTTTAAATATTTTCCTATGTATTCCTATGTAAAACTTTGATCATCCATTGTGGCCCCGCCCTACTCCCTGGGGTCATGATTTGTACAAATTTGAATCTACACTACCTGAAGATGTTTCCATATAAGTTTCAACTTTCCTGGACCAGTGGTTCTTGAGAAGAGGATTTTTAAAACACCCAACCAAATGCTCATTATTTCTTAATTATCCCCCCTGAAAGAGGGTGTGGCCCTTCATTTCAACAAATTTAAATCCCCTTCACCCAAGGATGCTTTGTGGCAAGTTTTGTCAGAATTGACCCAGTGGTTCTGGAGAAGAAGATGAAATTTGTGAAAAGTTAACGACGACGCCAACGACGACAGACAACGGACAAATTTTGATCAGAAAAGCTCACTTGAGCCTTCGGCTCAGGTGAGCTAAAAAGCGTAAACTGATCCAACCCATGTTATACCAGTAAAACTTGGGTAGCTATTACATTCATTCTTTATAATTTAATTTTCCATCATAAGTGTAAAAAATAAGACAATTTCTCCTTCAAAAATGCTTTGTAATTGTACGTATTTTAAATCTAACGTCAAGCAAATTGATACGTTTTTGACGTAGGCAACCCAGATTATTGCTAGCGCTCTCGAGCGCTAGCAACTACGTTGGTCTATATTTCTGAAATACGCATGCTCGACTTTACGGTCGGGGATTCTGGGAAAACTATATACTATATACTATAGATAGACTGTACGATAACAATTTCGTTTTGTCATACAAAAATAGAAATGATCCGAATTTACACTGGCCTTTCCTGTCTGATATGCGCGATATTCCGTATATTAGAGACAGTCAATACCAGTCTAGATCCGGAATTTTTTTAAATTTATTGTCTAACCTACACATAAAAGTACAAGAAAAAATTTGGCCATATAATGCCAAGATTCTAGACATCTAGCTTTCCTTACAGTTTTAACACCTTAGTGGATAATTCCGGCAAGCTCGGAAAAAACAACAACAACAACAAAAAACATTTTCAGAGTATGTCGGAAAGACATGGCAATTTAGTGTTTATCATCTGAAAATACATATGATCTGAATTTCGTGTTCTGTTTAACCTGCACGTAAATGAACTAAAAGTAACTCGGGTCTTATAAAACCAAGACTGTTATTTCTAAAGTTGTAATGAATACATAGCTTTTCTAATCTACCTTCATGGATCTTTCCAGCAAGCTCGGAAAACCGCGGCAACCTCGGATATGTTTTCCGAGCTTGCCGGAAAGGCCCGAAGGTGCTCATTGGTTCTACTGATCTTTTATTTTTCACCTCGAAATTGAAATTACGGTAAAATACAGAATGCTTAAAGCACAGTTAAGAGTTATGCCATTGCCGACGTGAAGCACACTCTTAGATTCACCATTCTGAATTGTGACCCCCCCCCAAACTCAATCCCCAGTGCACCAATCTGCTTTCCTATTAATAATTAATCGATTCAGCAAATTTAACAAATGGTTCGGATATCTTCTGTATTTTATTATGCTACAGCGCTAGCTCACCAATCTTTTTAAAAGATAAGCTTGTACGATATATTCTAATTTTTTTTATCCAATCAAATGACGCGTTACAACCAAAATGAAATTACTGAAAGATAAAATCAGCATTAACAAGTCTGCATCATCATCGTATTTTGATGATGGTTTTCAATTTTACGTTCTAATTCATGACTTCTACAAACGTAACTGAATTGCATTCCTCTATGCTTATTGTTAAATAGAAAATAAATTATGTTCAAAATATGATGTTTGAAAAAAGATTTCTTCAGTTGACCATTCTTTGTATTTATAAATGACTATAAAATACGCTCAAGCCAAACTCTACTGACTAAGAAGCGCAGGGTCATATTTCTCTACAGGGGGGATCAGACGATTTCATTGAGTGTAGAATTACACAGGAAATGAGATCTAATTCAAGGTTTCAGCCTCATCAAATATTTGAATTGACTTTCCGCCCAGTTATTAAACCTTGGGTAAATAGATCTAAAATTAACCAAACTCCTTGTCTTTAAAATGTTTAAATATTTCTTTTTTAAAGCAGTTTTTGTAGGCGATAGAAAGTTATTATTGACACGATGTACATGTTTGCTATGTGCAATTCTTAAATCCCCCCTGAATCACAATCACCATATAACGTTACGCCGCAGGAAATAGCTTCGTACAATAAAAGGAAATCCTACATGAACATCATTGTAAAAACATTCGCAAAATTTTTATAAATTCAAACTTCCATCATCTGAACAAAAGGGTAAATTGCGATTTTCTGAACAGGAACACATAAAATTGAGAGTGCTGTATACTGAAGACGGTTTTATTAAAAGTACAGATTTTACCTGTCCGCTTAATTTGGTATTTTATCATTGTTGATGTTTGCCTTAAGCAATCATGTGTAAACGTTATCAGTTATTTCCACTTTTATAGCACAATTAACATAAATATTTATGCAACACTTTAGTCTTATACGAATATATGAAATCATTGACAGTCTTTTTTTTTCTTTTTTTTTTTTTTTGCAGAAAATATTCTATATTGACTAACCTGACAAGGTAACCCAGGGACTCTTTGAGTATATTGGTATTTTTCCCTAATGTCCTCAAGATCCATATTCCGTTGGTTTTTGTGAGGGTCATTCTGAGGAAGAAAAGTGTCCAGATGCTGAATTAAATAATGGTACTCTGGGCGGATCCAGCGATAAATTGGGAAGACAAATTCCTGATTCGTGCGAGAATTGGTCACTTCAACGTAATCACAGAACCAATCGCTATAGAGACCCGCACCATCGCGCCAAAGTTCGATCTGATGAATCTCGCTCAAATCCACGGCATCTTTCACAGTAAATTTATCCCTCTGACCACGTTCAAAATCGTCACGCAAAAAGTTATCTAACTTGGCGGCTTTGGTTTGCTGGCCCTTTGCATCATGTAGAATGATTTTGACGTTAGCGTCCGTACCTGCTCGTTTTTTATCGCCAGTTTTAACCACCACTTTATACTGAGCAGACTTTCCTGCCATGGTGTATTGCCGACTGATCCAACATAAATAACTTCCACGTGGGGACTGTAAACAACTCCACTGTGGCCCGAAGTGGTTTAACAACTGCTTTACGTGACAACTCGGAAATTGAAGGCGAACGAGGGAAGTTGCGATGCTCAACATTACGACCAAGAAATCGTCATCGATCACCTTCGATATCAATAACAAATGTCATGAAAGGGGTACACAGCCACCTTTATGAATATTTAAAATGGATAGGGGAATCGCTTGTTTATTGTTCAGAACATTCGTAATCAGAAAAAAATCGTATTCCGTTTCAAAGATTCTTTTTAAATATCCATCCAGGAAAAGCTGTACATATAAATAAATCAGAGTTAAATAGGTTTATTGGATTAGTCCTAAAAGTCTTTTAGAGGATCTGACAAAAGATTATTATTGTTCATGTTATGCATGCTAGCTAAGCAAATGATTAAAAAAAAATCTGAAAACATTACCCTATCTTGCCTTCTCAAATAATATTGCAGACGACAATTCCTGCGCATACCTAACGTGACACTAACCCATTTTTTAAGTGGATCAGTATAGATAACTTTTGAGTGGTCTCCGTGATGATTTTGTTCATGGGCGCTTACTGAGTCATTTTATATTTCAGAATGTATGTTCTTCAACCTTTATTTTACTTCCGTATGTATATTTTTAAACCATGGTGGAAAAAAGAGCTCTGTAATGTACACAGCTTCATGATCTTTTCACCTCTGAACAAACTTAAGTAACCATTGAACTACCAAAAGCTAAATTTGATCTTGTAATTTGAGATTTTAAAGGTAAAAGGACTGCCTATACTTGTTAAAAAATGGCGTGATCTCCCTATATAGTCCGGGTTAAAGTTTATTTCAAATGTTCGAAATATAATTACATTGACGCTCGATCTTGTGTGACTTTGACATTGAGCAGCTAATAATCTGAAATTACCATTCTAAAACTAATTAGCAACTCACTCGAGTTATTACACGGTAAATTATAGATTTGCCTGATCCTTTTATCAAAAATTCATTACGCTTTCAACAGTAATAATTTATTTCTTAAGACTATAAACCGCGGCATTTCAGGAGATCAACAGTGCATGTATCGCATACACCGTGAACGCAGTACACGGGCTTGAATGTTTCGGCAGTAACATTATATCCTCAGATTCTAAAAAGAAAAACGAGAATCAATTTTGTGCTCTGTGTTTGCTTCAGAATATCTTACCAATACTTTGATAATTGATTGACATGGTACTAGTTTCTTTGACCTACTAGGTGCTTAGACCGTGTCTTCTTTTTCAAAGAAAGCCTATAACATTGTCATGCGTGAAATTCAGTCTTTGGGATAACATCTGATATTGTTAATTCATGAATCACAGAGATTTCATTAGTTTATAAATAAAAAATACAACACAATACAATATGCCGTATGACAAAACAGCCGGTGTGCTTATAAAAATGTCCAAAGATACTCTTGAAAATCCTTACGATATTTCTTAGGACACACATGTATCTTGATACGTCTTCGGATGTAAAACGAAAGCATCTTGGGAATGTTATGTGTGAAGCATGGAACTGCATATAGAAACTACATGTACACATGTACTAGTTTTAAAAAATGCTTTACATATTTTATCTATATTGCGTCATAGATTTCCATGACAAATTTTAGCAGTTAAGTCCATTCTCCTCCCAGTTAGATGTATTACACTGGTATATAACTGAGATGTCTACAATCATATAACTGAGATGTCTACAATCATATAACTGAGATGTCTACAATCATATAACTGAGATGTCTACAGTCATATAACTGAGATGTCTACAATCATATTACTGAGATGTCTACAATCATATAACTGAGATGTCTACAATCATATAACTGAGATGTCTACAATCATATTACTGAGATGTCTACAATCATATAACTAAGATGTCTACAGTCATATAACTGAGATGTCTACAATCATATTACTGAGATGTCTACAATCATATAACTGAGATGTCTACAATCATATAACTGAGATGTCTACAATCATATAACTGAGATGTCTACAATCATATAACTGAGATGTCTACAATCATATAACTGAGATGTCTACAATCATATAACTGAGATGTCTACAAAATTATAACTGAGATTTCTACAATCATATAACTGAGATGTCTACAATCATATAACTGAGATGTCTACAAAATAGCATGAAATTACAACAACAACAAAATAAATCATATATATCTATAGATATTTGTATTTTTAGATAAGTAATTCAGAAAAAGAGTTTTAAGGTGGAATGAAACACTATTGTGAAGTACTCCCTTTTGAAGAAATGATAAAATTAACCGTATACCATTATAACTGTATAATATCATCCACAAGTAGAGACCAAAGGTAATTAGATAATGTCATATTTTCAGAAAATCATTTCTTGTCGTTGTTTGTCCCATTATGTTCAACAAAACTCCCTCCCTCTCTCTCTCTCTCTCTCTCTCTGGGAAGGTTAAGAGCACTAGCAACCTTTCTTTAGATATTTCATACGATGTGTTAACATTAACAGCAGCTATTACCGACATATGTAACAGGTCGATGCAATATATTAAATGCCTGTCTTAAAATCATAATAAAATTACTCAATATTTCTTTGTTTTACATTTGTTACTGTTGTTACAGATTATCAAATCATCAAAGGAAGCATTCGATTCTAATAGGTCACCAGATTCGGGGGGGGGGGGGGTGCCAAGTCCGATCTTTTGATATTAAAGTATGTGCATAGGACTACATCTTCATAACACCCTCTCTCTAAAAAGTACAATTAATAACCAGTATTTTATTATATTCACTTTCAAATGGGTTTCATTAAACCTACTTCAGAAGTTTTTACCCTGATACGTGTTTAATAAATCAATTATTGTGCATTGACATTCATAACTTTTTCTATTTTCATTTGTGAATATACATGTGTACATTCACAGTGAAATGGCAGAATCTTTCCAAAATTTCATGAGAGAAATTAACATTTCACAAAAAATATTGGATTTAATTACAAACACGGTAAGTTCCATAGTTCGAGGTGGTTTTGCTGTCACCAGTGCTACTTAAATCCCGTACAATATGTCTTGGGATAAGCATGTCGTGGTCTTAAGGTACGGACAAAAAATTGTAAGTCTTATTATTTTTCTGCTTAAGAAAATGTTTACCGTAAAACTAAAGTCTGTTTATGTATTACCGTAAAACTAAAGTCTGTCTATATATTATCGTAAACCTAAAGTCTGTTTATTTATTACCTTAAAACTAAAGTCTGTTTATTTATTACCTTAAAACTAAAGTCTGTTTATGAATCACCGTAAAACTAAAGTCTATTTATGGATTACCGTAAAACTAAAGTCTGTTTATTTATTACCTTAAAACTCACGTCTATTTATGCATTACCGTAAAACTAAAGTCTGTTTATTACCTTAAAACTAAAGTCTGTTTATGGATTACCGTAAAACTAAAGTCTACTTATGGATTACCGTAAAACTAAAGTCTGCATGTTTATTACCGTAAAACTAAAGTCTGTTTATGTATTACCGTAAAAGTAAAGTCTATTTATGTATTACCGTAAAAGTAAAGTCTATTTATGTATTACCGTAAAAGTAAAGTCTATTTATGTATTACCGTAAAAGTAAAGTCTATTTATGCATTACCGTAAAACTAAAGTCTGTTTATTACCTTAAAACTAAAGTCTGTTTATGGATTACCGTAAAACTAAAGTCTACTTATGGATTACCGTAAAACTAAAGTCTGCATGTTTATTACCGTAAACTAAAGTCTGTTTATATATTACCGTAAAACTAAAGTCTGTTTATGTATTACCGTAAAGGTAAAGTCTATTTATGTATTACCGTAAAACTAAATTCTATTTATTTATTACCGTAAAACTAAAGTCTATTTATGTATTACCGTAAAACTAAAGTCTGTTTATGTATTACAGTAAAACTAAAGTCTGTTTATGTATTACCTTAAAACTAAAGTCTGTTTATGCATTACCATAAAACTAAAGTCTGTTTATGGATTACCGTAAAACTAAAGTATGTATGAGTAATCATGGCCAATAAATTACCACAGAAACTTAAAAAAAGTATTTTATTTGATTGTACCCTAGTCAAATTTCATTTCCTATAAATCTTGATAAGCATTCTGTCATTTCATTGATTAACTCTTCAAGCATAAATAACTTAGGGATATTTAATATAAATTTTTCATCTTAAAAAAACTGCAAAGTGAAACAAACTAATTTTAGCCAATAATTGTATCTAATGCATTACTTCCTTGTTCAATGTGACATCCATAATATAAAAATGATTTTATTTACAAAATGGCATTGTAATGAAATGAATTGATCATCTGAACATATTGCAACTCAGCTTGTTCACATCACAGCATTTCACAGAACTGTCCATGAATCACTGGTATATAGGACAGGGATAATAATTAGGAAGACCCCTGCTTGTCCCGGGACTGGGTCCAGGCCTGAGCAATGGTCCTCCTCATGTCATCATCCCCTTCATCATACATCTTCTTCAGCATATCCATCATGCTCTCATTTGGATCCTTATCATCATCTGATTTTGACCTGCAAGACACAAAAAACAAGAGATGTTTGTGAAACACTTATGCCCCCCCTCCCAATAATTTTTTCTAAGTCCATGAGGCATAACTCTGTCAAAAATTGCTCACTCGTACCCAAAACAGAACTTGACCTAGATATTTTTATGATAAATCTGTATACCATTTCATTTCAGTATGTGCACCTCTGCGAAGAAAATGAACGGAAACTGACAAACAGACCGACCAACCGACAGACAGCAAAAAAGCAATATGCCCTCCCTAGGGAGGCATAATAACAACCAGAGCACAGAGAAATAACCACCAAAACACAGATAGACAACACTGGAGCACATGGCAAGAAAAATAACAACCAGAGCACAAAGAAATAATCAACTGAGCACAGAGCAAGAGAAATAACAACCAGAGCACAGAGAAATAACCATCAGAGCAGAAAAATAACCACTGAAGCAGAGAGCAAGAACAATATTCACCACAGCACAGAGAAAAAGCCATAAGAGCACAGAGAAATAACCTTGAAGCACAGAGCAAGAAAAATATCCACTACAGCACAGAAAAATAACCACCAGAGCACAGAGAAATAACTACCAGAGCACAGAGAAATAACAACCAGAGCACAGAGAAATAACAACCAGAGCACAGAGAAAGTACCACCTGAGCACAGAGAAAGAACCACCAGAGCACAGAGCAAGAAAAATAACCACCAGAGCAAAGAGAAATAACCACTGGAGCACAGAAAAATTACCACCAGAGCCTAGAGTAAGAAAATAACCACCAGAATAAAGAGCAAGAAAAATAAAGAAAAATGACTATCAGAGCACAGAGCAATAAAAATAACCACCAGAGCAAAGAGCAATGAACAAAAAAATTATAAATAATTTTACATTCCCTAGGGTTGCCTTTCTTTTTGAATCAATTTAAGAATAATGATTCAGTTTGATTATGTTTAACCCTTAAACTGAATACTTGTAATTATAAATAAATCTTCCTTAAAACTTGAAAAAGGTTCATGTTTAGGTTAATTTTTTAAAAAAAATCACCTCGGTCTTTAGAAGTATTTCAGTTTGTGAAGTTGGATTCTACTCACTTCTTTTCTTTTTCCTCCTTTGTTTTCTTTGACTCTTTTTCCCCGGAGGTGACATATGCCCATGTCTTTCCTGTTTTACTTTTTTTCAGCATCAGAAGGACTGTATCTGTTTTCACCTTCAAAAGACCAGTACATTAAAGTGAATTTTTTTCTAGAAAGGAAGAGTACATGTAATGGAATCATGAAAGAAAAATATATGAGGATCTCAAGAATAAACTAGAACCATCCAAAAGGGACAAATACCCCCCGCTTGGTTTTTTCAGAGGTACCAAATCACTAATATTTTATGGATCTAAGAGGTGTTCGCAATTTTCTTATAAACATTTAGAGTGAAAAAATAATTGCTCATTACAATTTTTTTTAATGAATGAAACCAAGGAACAACCTAATAAAAATCAATACCAATACATTGTAATTACATTGTTTTTTTAATACATTGAAAAATAAATTGCAACTATCTGTCATCTTTTTTGAGACATGACACTCTGCAAATTGATTGTTGAAAAAAAAATCAATTAATTGAAAATCAAATTAATCTTGATAACTTTATATCAAATTCATTCTAAAAATAAAAAGGCTGGTCATCCAGTAACTATGTACTATGACAGGCAATATATTACAATTAAGTATAAATCATCAATATATATGTATCTATTCTCTGATATTGCAGGAGGAAACTATTTCTGGTTAGTGTAAGACAACTCAGATATCCTGATACCAGAAGATAACTTGTGTGTCACTTCCCCTGACTCAGTAGACAAAGAAATGTGGTTGTACCTCTTTATTCCATGTGTGTTCAGACTCTGAATGTGTGGTCGTGTCTGGCAACACATCTCTGACTGTACATATGTAAAGAGTAAAAACGGTGGCTGTGAAACAACTTCCACTGTACCAGGCCTCTATATGTGGATGTGTATGACAAAAGCAACATCTTTCTGTATTCCTAATGTGTTCTGACTTTATATATGATTGTGTGTGGTAACCTGTACCCCTTCAATATATATGGTGTGTTTGGACTCTATATGAGGTTGTAAGTGGCAACATGTACTTCTTCACTCTACAATGTGTGTTTAGACTCTGTATGTGGTTGCCAGGAGCATTATGTACCTTTTAACTCCATATTGTGTATTTCTACTCCGTACATATATTGATATTGGTTTATCCTGCCTCTGATGAAAATCTTGAAATTTCAATGGTCAAGAAGAATACTGTTTAAAACCATATGATATCATACTGCCTACTAACATGATATCTCCAACTGACCGGATATCAAATCAATATACCCCCTCCATGTGCCCTACTGACCAAATAGCCAATTCCATATGCTGTTTTCACTTGACCATGTAAGGAACATAATAACTGATGTCACATAAGCATCAGACATCACATTGTAAACAATTGTAATAGAACAGTTTGTTTTGCTCAAAAAACATGAACTCTTTTGCTTCCCCCTCAACCAATCTGCATTTTTTGAAGGACCCCATATATTTCTCTATTACCTCTCTAAATGTCCACTTAACTAATAGTGCCTGGCAATGCCTTTCTGTACACAGGGTTCTGACTCTGTGTGTAGGTGCCTTCCATCTGGTTATGAAGAGTATTCTGCCAGACATTCATTTGTGTTTACAGTTAAGCCTCTTTAATCTAGACACTCGTAAACATTTGTATTTACAGTTAATCTGGACACTTGTAAATATTTGTATTTACAGTTAATCTGGGCACTTGTACACATTTGTGTTTACAGTTGAGCCTCTTTAATCTAGGCATTTGTGTTTACAGTTGAGCCTCTTTAATATGGACACTTGGGTTCAAAAGCAAATTGTCAGGATTAATAAATCATCAGCAGTGCATGCATTGTTTGTATATTTGTCCATCTCTACCTGGGTGTATGTGTGGTTCCTGCCTGTGTAGCTATCTGTGGCACTGTATGTCATGTGTATCTGACTATCTATGTGGTTCCTGTCTCTGTGGCTATATCTTTATTTGTGGTGCTGTAGACACAGTCAGAGGTAGAGATACAGTTTATACAAGTGTCATGTACTATTAGATAGTCTTACAGACAGGCACCACAAACATAGACAAAGGCAGAGAAACAGTATATAGTGTCAGCCTTACTTTGAACCAGTCAGAATCGTCAGGGCCTTTCCTTGAACCAGCTATCATTGGGGTCTTACCTTGAACCAGCTATTGTTGGGGCCTTACCTTGAACCAGCTATCGTGGGGGCCTTAACTAGAACCAGCTATCATCAGGACCTTACCTTTAACCAGCTAATGTCAGGGCCTTACCTTTAACCAGCTTTTGTTAGGACCTTACCTTGAACCAGCTAATGTCAGGGCCTTAGCTTTAACCAGCTAATGTTGGGGCCTTACCTTTAACCAGCTATTGTCAGGACCTTACCTTGAACCAGCTAATGTCGGGGCTTTACCTTGAACCAGCTAGCATCAGGGCCTTACCTTGTACCAGCTATTATCAGGGTGTTACCTTTAACCAGCTAATGTTGGGGCCTTACCTTGAACCAGCTATCTTCCGGAACAATGTCCTCCAGAAGTGTAGAAATGTAGAGCTCTGATCGACGCTTGTTCTCTTCCTCCTCTACTTGTAATCGGAATGATCTATGAAGAAAGAAATAACATATAAACAAAGAGAGGTAACTCTAGCACAGAGAAATATGTTGCCTTTGCAAATATTAATGAAAGCCGGGCTTTAATTAATTGCTCGAGAATATTGTCTGATCCGAAATTAGTACATATTTAATTTTTTTTTCCTTTTGGCCATTGATGTTTAATAGGTAGAGTTTGTATGAATATGATTAACAATATCCCATATACCAGTAATTAAAATTAACAGTCCAGACCCCAAGATATGTTATGATTTTAAAATTTAACAAATAATATTTCCAAGAAATTCTCGCATATTTTCTATTCAATAAGCATTTTTTCTCATAATTTAAAAATTGAGTCTTGGAATAGTTAAAGTAATGCACATATTTTAGAGACATTCTTTTAGTTTCAAACAAACAGTACTTTTATCGCCAACTACATGTAGAAACACTGATATATGTACATTTTCAAGGGACGTCAGGCAAAACGCATATAAATTCTTAAAGTTCCAATTCATTTTACTATTAATTTGTTAAAAATCAAAACAGAATATTAACCACTTACATAATATCGACGAAAACGATATGAAACATGAAACTTTTGAACAATTTCAACCTTTTGAAAAGCCTGCCCTATTGAAAATAGTTCGCTTAAAATATGCATTCAGCAGCGTATGTGCACATATTGTTATATCACGATTATCCCAATAAAGCAAATATCTAATTTCTCTTTCAGTTTAATTCTCAAGCAAAAATATTGATCATTAACTTTTCCAACGATTGGGATGTTAAAAATATTTGTTTGAATATTGTCTCGCAATGGGACTATTTTGTTTATCGGAAGCGTCTGCTTTGATGCTGTTTGGTTTTTTGTTTTACTGTGCTATTTATAGTAAGACAGTCGATCATGATGCCTTTAGCCAGGACTTTGCTTTCAGCAAAGCCCAGCTAAAAACAAATTTACAAAATGTACAAATTTACTTGGTTTAGAAGATACTTAAATGAAAAATAAGATTTTTAGTTTCAAAAACCTTGCCTTTTGAGAAAATATTTGAGATTCTTAAACCCCTCATTCCCTCCATTTCCCTTTTACATTTTACTCCGTAATGATTTTTCAGAGTAAAATATCATAACAAGGACTTTTAGTTTATATTCAAAATGATCAAATTCACAATATGTATAATTCATTTGGCTTTGTTACTTACATTAAAAAAAGTTTACTCCAAGTTCAATGTTCATACCTCTTACCAAATTCACACGTAATTCTTTCCCTGGGAAGGGTGTGTACGCCATTGATTGTTACATAAATCTTCAAGAATTTGTCTGACTGATCCCAGGCTGAAAGATATTTTAAATTTTTTCATGACATTCCTAGTGAAATTCATTGTATTTACATTATGACTTTATCTACTGCGAATTTACTCCAGTGTATTTCAAATTAATACATTATATTGATCTTTATTCATATAAATGGTGCAGTTTTGTTTGTGAAATACATTTTTTATTGTATAATAGTATCTAGCTAGCTGTTAATATAATAAAAAAAAATGAAATTGAAGCACAAAAAAAACTCAACAGAATTTCTGAACCTATCAATATTCAGAATGGTGTATATATATGTACCTGTTATCATTATAATGATGCCAAACTGTTACATCAAATTACTGCAGATTCACCATATGTACTTACCATATGTACTTATGACCTTAGTTTGTACTTGTGGCCTTGGTTTCTTGGGTGGTTCTTCTGTGGACGGAACAGGTTCTGAGACCGATCTCTCCAAACGTCTGATCTCGAGTTCTAACTTACTCATCTCTGTTCCGATTATGTCCTTCACTCGTGATCGAGTGGCTTTCATAAGTAAGTCTCTCATTTCTTCTACATCCAGACGAAGCTGTATAGAAAATATTTATAGATATCATCAATGTTCTTGTTTTTGTATTAATTTAGCTGAACCAGTAGCTAACTAGGCAGTTGATGGATCTAATTTGATTAATAGTGTTCCTAATCAATCTGTTACTAGATTTCATATCAGTGTTCCTACTGAGAAAGCACTTACATACATAACAAATTTCTATTGTTTAATTTTCACTGTTTTTCTTCATCTTCTAGATATTGTTGCCAGTTGTATTGCCCAGCATTTTCCCCAAAATGATTTTGTTTTCATGGAGACAATGCACCAGTGCATTTCACAGGTATTAATTATGCTAAATTACAAAACTGAAACTAAATAGTTGAGGAAAATTGTGGCCAGCCCAACTAACTACCAGATGCTAAAACTATCAAAAATTGGATGTTTTTGTTGAAAACTCATTTGAGAAAATAATGCTATCAACTCAGAACTTAAGATTTAGAGAATATGGACCACCATTCCAATTAGTCCAAAATATCTGATGTTTTGTAGGCTTTTTAAAACAATTTTGATATTTGATGATTGCCAGGAAAAGGCATAATAAATATCAAAATTGTTACAAAAAAAGCCTGCAAAAACATCAGGTATTTTGGACTTCATTCCAATTCACTATATAGAAATCTATTCATAATCCATATACTGTTGTTCTTGATTCTTCATCTGTATGCTCCATCGTCATACCTTCTACTTACCTTATTTTGTTGTCGAAGAATATATATATATATATATATATATATATATATATATTATATATATATATATATATATATATATATATATATATATATATATATATATATATATATAAAGAGAGAGAGAGAGAGAGAGAGCAGTATGGATAAGCCCGTGAGAGGTGTGATTTTAATCAGACTGATTGTTGTGCACACTATATATATAGCAAATCTCTCGTCTTTATTACAGTCTTTTACCTTTTACAATGAACTCTGTGATACATATGACCCGATTTTACTCTAAGCACAAATAAAATTAAAGATAAAAAGTTACCTCCTCCACAGTTTCCATTATCTTCTCTAGAACTTTCTGAAATCTACTTTCGGTTTCACCACCCGATTGGCTAACTGATGCTTTAAGAAGGTTTATGTCCCAACACACAATTAGTTTTATTTGATATTGAATAATACACCTTCAAACACTTGTTTAACAAAGTTTAAACCTCGTTTCACACTAGTTTTTGTGTTTTTTGAAGACGCACACACACATGTGGTTGTCACTACGAAAATATTAATTCGTTCTCGAACTGTTTCGACAATCTTTTCTCGGTTTAGATTGATTGATTGATTGTATATTGTTTTACGTCCCATTCGAGAATTTTTCACTCATATAGAGACGTCACCATATACCGGTGAAGGGCTTCAAATTTTGACCTTTACTCGGCACTCAGGGCCATTGAGCAGTGAGGGATCTTTATCGTGCCAACGCCTGCCGTGACACGGGGCCTCGGTTTTTAAGGTCTCATCCGAAGGACCCGGAACTTTCACTTCAAAGTGCCGAGCGCATGGCGAAGGAACAGTTGCTACCTATTTTTTATCGACTTAGGTCTGTCGCGGCCGAGATTCGAACTCACGACCCCCCGATCACGGAGCGAGCGCTCTACCGACTGAGCTACCGTGAACGGTATTCTCGGTTTAGAAGAGATGTGGATGTAGGTGAAAGCCTGTCCACTTCTCTAAAGAGAATAGGTTTATACATTGCATGGTGACGTGGGTTCTTTATCTGGTGTTCCACCTTTTCAACTAGAATCATAAGTCAGGCCGTGAACATCCAACAATGATTAAAAAAATCTTTCTTCAACTGTTCAAGGCAATGTAGGCCGCCTAGTTTATCCATCGTATGTGATCGATTCATTTCTGTTCGGCTGTGAGATCTGTCCAGTTCATACATTTATAAATTATTGTATATGCTTTAACTAATCTGGTGATACATCAGTACCAAACTGATGCTTTTTTGAGAGAGAAAATGAATGATGTAAATGGTTTGTTGCATTGTCTAAAAGTATAGAGACTGCAATGATATTATCAACCGAGGCGCAGCCATGGTTTTCGAGGGGTGAATACATAAATATAAAGATAACGAACAGTAATCAAGCTCAAGAGTCCATTGAAACAATACAAACTGGGAGCAGAGGTGGGATCAGGTGCCACGGAGGACTAAGCATCCCCTGTCGCACACGCTGTGTTCTCCTCGTCATGATCGTGCAAACGGAAAAATTCGTAGACAATATTCTGTGTAAAAATTTGTATGAAATACGCCAGTCAACATTCGACTTAATTATAGATCTAGATTGTATTTGCTAACAATGTCATTGTATCGATCATAGGGGCTTGTCTTCCGGTTTTGTTAAATGACGACATTGTACAATAAACTAGTATAATTTTGATTCTACTTTTAAAACACTTAAAAAGTTGTTTCAAAATAAATATTTTGACACTTTCAGGCAAGAAATACCATGTTTAAAAAAACGTACCATACCTATATATATATATATATATATATATATATATATATATATATATATATATATATATATATATATATATAATTATAAACTCTATATACAAGGCATGTACGCTGTCATCTTGGAAAAAATACATCACCCACTTCAGCACCTGTTTCTGTACTCTAACCTTTAAATTTATTTCAGTGTCATAGTAGGATTCACTACAGCGATAATTTTCCTAAATGCTGGTGTGGTTGTCGGTCATCGCACGCATTCAATCAACATAAAACGGATACAATTTCTTCGATTTGGATTTGGAGGCTCATCTCCAAATCCACCTGCATGGAAGGAACGGAATTTTGCATTGAGGAAGCTAAAAAATCAAGAGCACTTATAAAGGTAACAACAGGAGAAAGGCCAGGATCAGGAAGTGTCGTGAAAAACTGAAACAACTCGAACAAGCTATTCAAGATGGCTTCAGAAGTGCAGAAAAGGGGAATAGTTATATATACTGAACGATGATTTTAGATCACAGCTTACAAGACTGAGATGAGCAGAGAGCACACGGAGGATGAAGAGGCGAAGCACTGGAGACAGGGCACGTATTGTGAAAGGTCCATTCAGGTTAAAATAAAGGAGTCGCTAGGCAAAAAACGGTCCGGCATATTGTGATGCTCGAGAGAGAAAGTAAAGTGACATCTGAGGGAAACCGATTCAGACCCACATACATAGATCGGACTATGTCCGAGGAATGTTGTAGAGGAATCACCAGAAACAGAATTAGATAGCAACGAACCATTATGGAAGCAGATAACATCCATCGTTAAAAAAGGCTCGAAATTATGTACACTGTGCTGACTCATCTGGAAAAGGGGAAGAGTGCCAGAGGTGTGGATAAAGAATTTACCTTATTTCACCTTTTACAGCCATACACACATACAAGCAATGGGTTTAAACTTCATTGGAGGATACTGTAACTTGGGAACGCATGCCGTTTAAAATAAAGAAATCAAAATGATAAAAGTCCAAAGTTAAAAGATTCTAACGACAGTTGATAACCGTATAAAATGCTTTGGGAAGTGGCTCGATTCATCACTAAAAGACAGTAACCAGTCAACGGAACTAAAGCCTAATGTAACATTATTGCTGGAAAAAAGTCGACAAGAGCGATCTATCAGGAAAGTACAAAGCCTAGATTTACCACCATGTAATCCTGCCGAGACTGATGTGGTTGTTGCTGATTTATGAGGTGCCCATGACAGTAGTAGAGGGTTTGGAGAAAGCTGTGAATGGCTTGCCGAAAATGATTAGGAGTTCCACCAAGGGTTACTTCAATTGGACTCTATAGGAAGACCTCTCAAATCCAATTACCCCTTTCATCGGTAATTAGAGGGAACCAGGTGGCTAAAACAGACTAGTGATGACCTTACGAGACTCATTTGACCAAAAAGTCCATGATGCTGTAAACAGCCAAGGTCAGGGCCAAGTGTCGGCAGTTTCAGTAGTAGATCAAGCAAAAAACATGCTAAAATTGTGGGGCATAATTGGCAAGAAGTTCAAAGGCAGAGAACGGATTTCCAGGAATGGACCAAGGCTGATAAGACCGAGAGGAGGAGCATGGTTCAGGGAAAAGTGAAGAGAGGTTGAAGATGCTAGAAGAACATCGGCAGGCAGGGGGTTTGGATGAAATGGGAGCTTCCACTAGAAACATGAAATCTCTGACATATGGAAGATGGATCAATTCAGAATTGCGTTTTTACTGCCATCGGGATCGGTGTATGATACACTACCTTCCACAGCCAATCTACAACAGTGGTGACTTACTGAAGAGCCTGAGTGCAAGCTTTGTAGGAAAAGGGGTACCATAGCCCACATCTTATCTGCGTGCTCGGTTGCAGTGATGTAAGGCCGGTACATGTGGAGACATGATAAAATCTTAGGGAACTGACTGATGTGGTGGTGAAGGAGAAAACAAGAAAGAGGAACAGCAGCAAGAAGTCTGATTTCATCAACTTCGTCAGGTAGGGTGCAAGACAAAGGATGGATTTTATCGGTGCTTGACATAGGAGGAGGATACTGGAAACAGGGTGGATCTTGATGGAGGAATCTTTTCTTTTCAGAGGTAGTTACACCATTGCGACCAGACTGAGAGACTATGGTCCAATCAGACCAGGACTCTGGTAGTCAAAGAATTGACAATTACATGGAAGGAACACTGATGACTTAGGAATAGGAAGAGATTAAAGTATGCAGACTTAATGGCAAATGCATGGAGAAGGGTTGGAAGTCAAGGATGTTTTCTGTCGAGGTTGTGTGAGAGGGTTTCCATGTCCAGTCAATGTAAAAGGTGTTCCAGACTTTAGAATGGTGTCTTTATTGCGGAAATCTGCTATATAACAACTGACAGAGGCAGCGGAAAATGATATGCTAGGTATGGCACAAACGAGAGGAGCCGAGCTGGTTGTCTCGAACCAAGGAGTAGTGGTATGGCCACCATTGCTGACCAACTGGAGGATGTCGTGGTCTGGGGGTCGAAACATCCAGGGAATGTTGGCCACCATTTAAAGACGTTGTAACCAGGCAGAGGGTGTGGCGGACTCAAGTCTGACGAATGGAAGCTAGTGTTTTTTTATTATTCGATAGAGTTTCTGTATGCCTTGTTCGGAAGCTACTTGTTCTGCTTCATTAGCTAGTTTTTCCGTGTGTGCCCTCTTGTCTGCACACCTTTTTTCCTCCTTGGCTATGTCCTGATATTCTGCTTGGGGCAGATCTTTTAGCCTCTTAAATTTTTTTCTTATCTGTTTCTTGTTCAATTCTTATCGTCTGAAATTCATTCTTCTTCCACCGTTTTGTTTCCTGGTTAAGATTTTTTCATGTTAGGATTGCTGGCCAGCATACTAGTACTGATCTCGGAGGACCAGTGCTTTTATGTTGGTGTTTTCCTTCCCCTAGATTACTGCTTTCCCTTGCAATAGAGCTCATCTACACGAATTTCCTTCCGTAGCCGTTGACTTCCCCAGGCCGTTAACAATGCAATGAAGTTATTTGACACATAGTTGGGGGCTATAGGTTGGACATGCATGTCGTGCATTTAGGGGCCTAGTCTGCTCCTAGACCCCATGGTTCTGCTAGGGACTGAAAGAACTATATATCGATCTGCTACCTCGAGGAGGATATTCTTTTTCAAATATATTTTTAATGATTTTTGTACCAGGTATTCATACTATATAATCAGGTATAATAATTTCTGATGTAAACAAAGTATGTAATTCCGACTGTCTGTTTCTCTATATAACAAAATATCTAACACATTTTACAAAAACGTATGATTTTGACATGGTGCTACAATTGTACTTCAAGAGTTTTTAATTGTATACGTTTATAAACTCTAAAATAATACTTCTATGTAATAATTGTATGAGTAGACAATATTATGTTGTATACATGTATATAGTTCATATTTCCAACATTTAAACCACGCTCCAATATCGCACAAAAGAATTTGTTTACTACACCACGATGTATGTAACATTCAAATCAACGACTGAGAGGAAAAATCATATATGTAAACAGCTCGTTACCTAAACTTAGTATTTTATCTCCTATACATTTCTTTATAATATTTTTGCATGGAAAGAAATTAATTTAAAAAAAAATAGGAATGTGTATTTTCATTTTTAACCATTTGAAAAAAAAATTATGATACATTTATATACATATTAACTAAATGCAACAAACGGACACAGTTCTCAGAAGTTTGTTTCATAATTTCGGGATTTTGTAAGTTTATCCCTCATCATATACTGTAAGTACACAAATGGATAATACGACTTTTCCTCCTTAGGACTTTGTTCTTCTCCCTGGAATGAAATGCACGCATGATGTTAGACAAATTAGCGGTAAGTATACACGTGTGTTAAAAATGTTCAACTTAAGTTGAGTATATATATATATATATTCACCTTTTTCGTTTTTTCTGCTGTTTGTTCAATATCTTGATTTCTTGTGAGTAGCAAGGAAAGGTCGAGAAATATTCCACAATATGACGGTTTTACAAATTGCCTGATTGAAAAAAAAATGCATGGTGTATATTATTTTACTCTGATACATCGATTGTCTTGGCATAAATATATCCACCGGGCAAATGCCACCAATATAGTAAGACTATTCAAAACATTTCATAAAGTTGTGATAGTGGTAGGGCGCTCGCTTCGTGATCGAGAGGCCCGGGTTCGATTCTTGTTCGCCGCGCTGTGTCAAACCTAAGTATAGGTAGTGATTCAGTGGTGATTGTTCCTTCGCCAAACGCCCAGCATTAGGAAGTGAAAGTCATGGGTCTTTCGGAGGAGACCTTAAAAACCGAGATCCGTGTCACTGCAGGCGTTGGCAAAATAAAGAACCCCCACTGCTCAGTGGCCCTGAGTGTCGAGTATAGGTCTAAATTTGAAGCCTTTCAGGCATATACGGTGACGTCTCTACTTGAGTGAAAAATTCTCGAATGGGACGTTAAACAACAATCAATCGATTAAAGAAATTTTTCAGGGCATGTTTATCAAACTTCATATGCTGATACATATTAACTGCATCAACACTTTTTTTTACCTTTCCTTTGACCTTGACCTTACTTTTCTTAAATATGTAATAAATTAGCTCAGTTTCAAAGAAAATATTCAAGATAATTTTATCAATCTTCATATCCTGATTCATATTTGCGAGATCGATTCAATTGTATCAATAATTTTTTACCTCGATCTTCCCTTTGAAATTGATCTCACTTTTCTTAAATTTGCATATAGCTAAGTTCAAGACATGTTTATTTTTCTCAAACTTCAGTGAGTGCAATTGAAATGCATAAAAACATTTGACCTTTGATTTTGACGTCTTTCTCTTATTTGCATTTAGCTCGGTTTCAAATAAACAAATCATTTTTATGAAACTTCATATGCTGATACATATTATTGAGAGCTATTCAAATGCATCAAATTTTTTTTACCTTGACCTTCCCTTTGACCTTTACCTTACTATTCTTAAATTTGTGTTAGATCAATTTCAAAGAAACTATGCTGATCATACTGGAAAAAGCTCTTAAAACTGCATCAATTTTTTTTTTACCTTGACCTTCGCTGTGACCCCGACTTTGATTTCTTAAATTTCTTTTTGCTCAATTTTAAAGACACTATTCCGGATATTTTTATCTAGACATATTTACTGATTCATATTAGTGAGAACTATTCAACTGTTTCCAAAATGTATGACCTTGACCTTACTTTTCTTTATTTTTCATTTATCTCAGTTTCAAAGAAATTATTTTACATATTTTTTTTTATCTACACACATGTACTGTTACATATTAGTGAGAACTTATCAATTGTATCCAATTTTTTATCTTGTGTTTAAAAATCATTTTCCAAGAAACTTTTCAAGATATTTTCATCAAAAGTCATACACTAATAAATATTGGAGAGGCTATTCAATTGTGTCATAATTTTCTGATCTTAACCATCCCTGTGACCTTCACCTTACTAATCCTCACTATCCTAATCTTAAACGAAGAAGCAAGGTACATTTCTTTTCATGCTACATTACTAATGAGCCCTGAGCGGTGCATTCATGTCCGTTGACATATTTCTCAATTTTTAATTGTTTTTTTTTTTTAATTAGTATTTTTTGAAGAACACAAATACACAGAGTAAAAGGGATGTCTTAACTTTTAGTTTAAACTTTTCCAGTTTAAATAAATGACATATGTACATGTAAACTTCTTTTGGTCCTTTGGCTTCTTGGATAATCCTTGTAGGTTAATAACAAATTTTCCCCAAAAATGTGAACACACGGACATAATAGATAAAGCATTTCAAACAGTTTGCGTGTCGTGGATATCGTTTCAAAACAAAAGTCCACTCAATTCCCTTCACTTCTTTTTTTTTTTTTTTTTTTTCGTTTCGTACATATGTTTTATTCCTTTAAATTTTCTTATCCATATATACGGTCATAATCCCTGTTTAAGTTACATTTAGTAAACTAATTTATTAACACCTTCCCATCAATGTATCCAATGTTATCCTAAAAAGGCAAGAATTTGAAATATAAATTATATCTATTCTAAGAAAATCAAAAACGAGTTGTAAAAAGTTTTCATCCACGTTAAACAGTAGCGGTTATCCGGCTGAGTTTTTCCCTTTTGTTACCAGCACTAAGTTTCAATGATCTAGCAAGATCCATGTTCGTAGAAACCAATAATTTTGGCGATATATAGAATACTATATAGAAAACATAGCTACTATATGGTTGTACCCTCTCAATAATAGTAACATCTGATGACCTTTTTTTGTTTGTCAAGGAAATTTGAATTATTTGGTCGTGCCCTCCCAAACTGAAAATGTTTGGTTGTGCCCCCTCCCCCCCCCCCCCCCCCCCGAAATTGCTTCCTACGGGCCTGAGATTCCATCTTACCTTCCGTTTTTGTCCAATATTGATGCACTGTTTCTCCATATGTACAGTGTCAGTAAAATGCACGTGATAGATCCAAACACCCCGGCAAACATTAGAAGCATTATTGGTCCTATAGTATCTACTTTAAATCCCCATAAAGGCTGTGCCACATTGCAAAAGTCCGCCGTCAAGTCCAGGGGATACTTTATTACTGGAATGAATACAAAAGGTGTTGCAATCAAACTCATCATGAGGGGTACGGAAAAACATACCATTTGGAGGTTAACTCTACATGCAAATCGTGTACTCAGGAAACAAATAAATCCAAGGATATTTGTAATGAGAAGCAGTATCCCAACATCATTTCTGTGACATCCGTAAGAAATGTAAGATCGTGATTCTAAAACGACTTCTCCGGTTAGGGTTCTGATCTTCGCAGAACCCATGAAGGATATAGCTTTTGCTACATTTATTGATTTGCCACTTGACCGCAATGAAAATATCATATATGGAAAAACAACAGTCAGTGTAATTTTCCATAACATTGTTAAAATTAAAACTTTTTCTTTCTTTGACCGAGTGTATTTGGAAAGAAAAGATTTCAGCTTTATAGTTTTGCAGCAATTGCCGCTAGATTTCTCCCCTACTCTACCTATTGGCGAACTGAAAATCAAGAAGTTTTCCCAATAATTGAAGGAAACCAGAACTGACGACACAATCAGTAATGCACTAATTGTCCCACTCTCAACATTGTCGCCTGCTTTCTCGTTGATATAACCAATGCTGAACCCATACGCCATCAGCAGACTTAAAATACTGAAGACTCTTACGATGCTTGAGACAATCTTGTTGTTTGTAATTTCTTTCACAGAGGACGCTTTGCTGAAGTTTTCACTGCTTTCAGATTCACTTCTTGTAATTTCATCTACTTTGTCAAGTTTAATTTCCCTGTCGCTTCTTGAAGTGCTGCTATTGATCGTCATCCGGACTTTTTGCTCATTTCCCTTGCCTGCAAAACACACCCTTGGGTATTTGGATTTGCTGAGGAAATTTAAAATAACTGGAGCAAAGACAAGAAGGTGTGACAAAACTGAGGCAGTGAGGGGGTCAAACGCGGGTAACACTAAAAACACCAAAAGACAGAGACCAGTCGAATGAAATGTTTCCACTGCCAGACTCTGAAATTAAAACAAATTCTTGATTAACTGAACCAGTCCAATTGTCTTGGACTTAACTTTAAACACAAAATATTGAATATATATATATGATTTTTAATGTGTTACAATGGTAAAATCACGTATTTGTTTGATTATAAAGCACACATAGAGTCTATCTCAACTCACCAAGAAAAGCATTCGGATGTCAAATGCATCAGTTTCCTTGAAACGTATTCGCCAAATGGAATATATTACTGTGCAAAGATCGGGTACGGCAATGACACTAACAAGACCCCAAACCCACATCACATTTACAGATGGTATGTCTTCCACTAACTGACAAGAAATAAAGTTTTTCGGGGGACATTCCCATGCTTTAGGTATTTCAGTTTTTCTGATATATCCAGAATCACAAAGAGATGCTGTGAAATTGTCTGCACTGCAATTTAAGACAGGGTACGCTCTCTTTTCCACTAGATGCACAAGCCCCCCTAATCTGGTTAAAGTTGTGGTTGTATTAACCTGTGGTGGATTCAACTTCCAAATCATTAAGTGGATGAGGATTCGTGAGATTCTTGTCGAAAGCAAGACAATTTGGAACAAGACAAAAGTGAAGAGAACAGCACATATCTTCCTGGCAATTCTGCGACAGGTGCTGGATTTTCTGGGAATGGTTGACGTATCTCTAGCAGAATCATCACATTGCATGACACTTCAAAAAAAGTATTATAAATTGAAAGGCTTCCGGATTTGTACGAAGAGGTAAATGTATTTTTCTACGAGGTTTTCATTTATTTTATTTATTTATTAAACTACTTCTGAAAAAAAATTAATAGATGCATTCTTATAATATTTGTTTATTTTGTAAACTTTAAAAATACAATTAAAAGATCATTTGTGACCATTTACTTCAATCAGAAGTCTCTGACGAGACTGAAACTGTAGCTCATCTCGTTTGTCCTACAATCCTACAATAAGAGAGAAAAGCAGAACCTGGACATGAATCCTACTAGCTATGGCAACTCAAATAAATAAGAATTATGTTCAACGGTTTTGTTTACTTATGTACTAGATTTTATTTATCTCGAAATCTTTTCAATAGTGCCAAGACCACCCTAATCCATATTCATAAGAAAAACATAAGTAAGTTATGTGGAATAATTTTTTTTATTATAATTATGAGCCCTTGGTGTGGGGTTGGGCCGAAGTCAAAGACCCAAATTTTACAAAATGCATGTTATAGAAAAAAATGTTATCCAGAAAAGCAGGACCATTTTGATCGTACAGATATTGAAGCATCCCAATATTGTGTGCATCCGAACTTTTATTAAATCATGGCTTCTTATAGTCCATAATTTGGAGTCAGAATCTTATAAAATTTAAGAGGGAAATTCAAACGGATTCTGCTTATGAAGAACAGTAGGGCCAAAGTGACTCAAGTGAGCCTTGTGGTCCATGGTCCATGTTTATTTTCCCGTAGACAAAGATTCGGAGGCATATAGTTTTTATCTGTCCGTCCGCCTGTCTGTCTGTCTGTTTGTCCGCAAAAACTTTATCCTTGGCCATAACTTTTGAATGGTGCTAGGAAAAAATATAACTTTTGCCTATTTCGACTTCTTTTAGGAGTGTTTGAAACTGATCTGCCTCAGGTGTTTTTCCAGCAGATGTGGCCATTGCTCATTTTTATTGATAAAAAAATGTTTCGCCACTGGATAATACATGTACTGAACACATTGTTGATTCTAAATCTACACCGATCAATCTACCTTTAATTAGTCCGACAGTGAGCTACCGTTAAAAGCAATACTTAAATATTAGTAGATAAATTCGATGGGATTACGAAGTTTTTTTTTCCTGTTTATTACGATAAAAAACAGAGGACAATAAGAGGCTTTCTCAGAAATTAAAGTAAAAAATATGGCTGTATCTATGAAAGTCAATTTCTTGCAAATTTGCAGTCACTATTTTGCCAAGAGTTACGATGAATTAGTAGAATGTACATCGACTTCCCTTAGAAAGACATGCTTTTTTCCAAGTATATGTATTTCATATTTAGATTGATTTAATGAAGGAAAAAATTCTTTTAATATCGTTCTAAAAAATGTCGATTATGTCATAAAAGAAATATAAAGTGCACTTTTTTTAATTCCACGTTAGGAGTTTTATGTCACAATTGACACACTGATCAGCAGTTCTCATGTCAAATGAGACGTTGTTCTTATACAATAAAGTGAAACTGGTTCTTATTTTCAGGGTTATATGAAACAATAATTTAAATGGATAAATATTTTATGTTCCCGCAGCCAAAGATTCGGAGGCATATAGTTTTTGATCTGTCCGTCCGCCTGTCTGTCTGTCTGTTTGTCCGCAAAAACTTTATCCTTGGCCATAACTTTTGAATGGTGCTAGGGCTTTCTTATTTCACTTGTGTATTCCTTGTGACAAGACCTTTCTTTGGGTACCAACATATTTGATCTTTTGACCTTGTCCTTGAAGTTTGACCTACTTTTGAAAAACTTTAACCTTGACCATATTCACCATAATTTTTGAACGGTTGATGCTAGGGCTTTTTTTATTTCAAATGTGTATTTCACGTGACCAGACCTTTCTTTTGTTACCAACATTTTCTTACATGACCTTGGAGTTTGACCTACTTTTGAAAAATTATAACCTTGGCCATATTTTCTGAATTGTTGGTGTTAAGACTTTCAAATTTCACATATGTATTGACTGTTCCTTGTGACCAGACTTTCTTTGGGTACCAACATTTTGAAATCGTTACCTTGACGTTTGACCTACATTTGAAAAACTTTTATTTTGCTAGACGGAGGCATTAGTGTTTCACTTACACATTTTGTGTTATTGTCGCAAGTAACCCCCCCCCTTCTCTCTCTATTTTTCAATCAAGTTTCACAAGTTATCCCGCATTATGTGCACATTTAACAACAACACATTGACATGTAATTATGCGTTTTAATGGAAATTCACAATACAATGAAAAACTTATTAAAAAAAAAGAGACTAAAATTTCATGTTTAATTTTTTTTCTTTGACTCAACATAAGATGTCGTAACGTAAAATACGTTTAAGATTGCTTTTAGCTATGGCAAGTTTTTTTTTTAAATTGTGTTAGAAAGCACTGCATTTGTGCGCCAACACCCTAGTTTCTTTGCCCTTTTTAAAGTACAAATATCAGCTTAAAGGGTCAGTAGAAATAGGTCGCTTCTCTATATAGGAATTCTAATACATGACTATATTGTTCTTTAGATGTTTATACATTGACAGTAAGGTTTTTAATACAACTGAATGTATTAATAATAAATAATCATAAAGTACAGTTGATTAAATTAATGACGAGTCACCTGGCTTGCGAGTCATTTTTTAATTTTCCCTGAACGCTCATGGAGAACTTGAGGAAAAAGAAATATCACAAAGTTTATAACTTCCTACCTCTGCGTCACTTGCCAGGACACTGAAGATTTTCCAATATTTCCATTATCGTCATTAGTTTCCATGGTATAATTTCAAACTTTGCTCTTTTAGAAGTACTACAAAACAGACAGTTTAATATATGACGTGTTTTTTTCAAATTAAACTATTGAATACATTACATGTACAGCATTTAAATAAACGTATGCAACTTAAGAAGAGTTGAAATCACGCTCTATTTGTGTCTTTTGTGCGATATAAGAATGACGAAGTAATAATTTATCACCCTATCACAATGTATAAAGCGTCTTTCCTCGTAAGAAAAAAATCCCGTTATAAAAAAAACCCATCTTTTTATTAACTTCCCACAAATTCAAATGAATTTGAACAAAAAAAACTGTTACCAGGATTGCAAATCTTTGTTTTTTGCATATTTCAATTGATAGTTGTAGTGACGTTTTGTTCTGGCGTTATGTTTTTGTCGTTGTTTCATCGCTGTTAATTGCTTACATGAACTACATCAGTAAATGTATTTTCATTTGCTCTTGATTCACTGCTGTTAGTAGCATCGTCGTTGAAGAAAATGCAGGATTGAGTTTACCTGATATTTGTATTCAAAGGTTATGTTTCATAATGGAACGGAAAAATCAAATCTTGCATTTTGCTTTAATTTGATGGCTGTTTCATGAACTTGACAACTTATCATTTAAGGTTGTTAGTGAACTTAAATTACAGATTTTGACTTAAAGAGCATTTCACCATTGGGTTGGATTTTACGTTTCTGACATAAAGCTATACCTCAAATATTTATCTGTGCAGAACTTTAAAGTTATATGTTCGTATTCTCTCTCTCTCTCTCTCTCTCTCTCTCTCTCTTGATTTCTAATACCGAAGAGATGTGGTTAATAAACTATCCGTCCATTTGTACTTTATACAGATACGAAATATGGGTTTGGGATACTAGCTGCAAGTTACATACAATTGTATATAAGATTATATATATCTTATTTTGTCTAGATGAGTGACCTTATTCAATATTGGGTTTCTCATCAGCAGCTATAACTCTTATGTTTTATTGAACTTGCATGGATGACAATACTAAGGACGCATACCATCAAACATATGTGTAAGTTTATCCGTCTCTAAAACATGTACAACATAAAGGATATTCAATGTTTGGAATTTATTTCACGAGTGGAACGTAAAAAGTAAATCTAAATGTACATGTACTTGAAAATATCCGTCTCACGAGTGAAATAAATTCCACATTCTACATTAAAATAGTGAAGTTTATAATGACATTTCTTTCATTTTTCCTTTGCCTCTGTCTTTTTTGTAACGATGTCATAGGTTGTGATGTTATAGACTTATAGTTGAGTGGTTTACACGGCATAGCTATAAGCGATTTTGAGATTGAAAACATTGTAAACATGGATTTAAACAAAATTGGCAGTTTTAGTCTCTTTCAGGATGGTTTATTTACTATTTTATCTTATAACAGGCCAGGGAGTATTTTTACAACACTCTTTGTTTGTGAAGGGAAGGAAAATCTCGAGTCTTGCCGCACTTCTGATATTCTTTCACACTGTGACAGAGTATCTCTTTGATATTCTTTCACACTGTAAAATTCAATAAATAAATCATAAATTGAAAATGTAATAAAATGATTGCTTTGCCTTTTTATACACGATAGTTTAAGCTCGATTCAGGAATCACTTTTTCAGAGCACGGGTTAAAAAAAAATTGACTAAAGGATCAGATTTATCCAAATACCTATACTTACTTCGTGCTTTCTGTTCTTTTATAAATGTGCAAATATGATGCCACTTTAAAGGAAATGACATGTTATCATACGTCATGTTGAACTTATTTTAGTCACATGAGCAAATAATCTATTCCCATAACTTTCGAGTATATCTGGTCATATTATGACTTTTTCCAAGCAAGGAATCTTACAAAGAGAAATAATTAACATGCTATATACATGTAACTGTACTTGACCACTTTCAAGCATTGTATTTGCCCAATATACTATGTCAACCAGGGTATTAATTTACATTTGTAAATTTTATGCCCAAGATTCGACATCCGTCTGTTTATCTGTCCGAAAAATTTTTAACCTTGCCCATAATTTTTGATTGGTTGGGGCTTATTTCACATGTGTATTCCCTGCGACAAGACCTTTCCTTGGGTACCAACATTTTTCACCTCTTAACCTTAACCTTGGAGTTTGACCCACTGTTGCAAAATTTTACTAAAACATAAAACCTTGGCTATAACTTTCGAATGGTTGGTGCTAGGGCTTTCGTACTTCACAGGTGTAATCATTGTGACAAGATCTTGAAGTTCCCTTTGATACCAACAATTCTGACCCTTTGATCTTGACTTGGAGTTCGACCTACTTTCGAAAAAAACTTTAACCTTGGCCATAACTATTGAAAATTGGGGCTACAGTTATCATATTTCACATACATGTGTGTTTCTTGCGACAAACTTGTACTTCTTTTGGATACCAACAATTTTGAGTCTTTTACCTTGAACTTTGATCTAATTTTGAAATACTTTAACCTTGGCCATATACCTACCAACAGTTTATTACCTTTTGTCCTTGACCTTGGAATTTGACTTACTTTTGAAAAACTTTAACTTTTGAATGAATGGTGGTAGGGCTTGAAATCATATTTCATATGTGTATTCCTTGTGACAAATTAGAACTTCCCTTGTACACCATTGATTTTGACCTTGGAGTTTGACCTACTTTTGAAAATTCAAAACTTTAACGTCGGCCATAGCTACGCATTGAACAGTTGGTGCTAGCTAGGCTTTCATATTTCACAGGTGTATTCTTAGTGACAAGACCTTTATTTGAGTACCAACAATTTTGATCTACTGACCTTGGAGTTTGACTTGCTCCTGAGAAACTTAACTTTTGCCATGAGCTGTCATACGGGGGCATCAGTGTTTTACAAACACATTCTGTTTATTGTTCTTTATTATTGTTTATTATTTATTGTGGCAATCTGATTAAAATCAGCTGTTCTGTATGAAAGTAAGTGGCAGCATATCAGAACAGCTGATTTTAATCAGATTGTTGTTTTGGTGACTTTGTTTCCCATGTATGAACTCCTCAACATCCTCTAGTGGCTGAATGTTGATCATTGCTGGGGTGCTGTTGTTTGTGGTGCTCAAATACTGTATAAGACCTGTGTCTTTTTGATGTTGACCTTTTATCTGATTGTACTAGTTGTGGCATGGAGATGCTCTGTCCTCTGCTGGATATATTGGTGTCTGATAGATAGGAGGCCAAGGTCATCAGCATAATCCAGATCCTATATAGGGTTGACATCAGTGTCCACTGCAATCCCTGTCCTTTATCTTATGTGATGTTCTTCATGACCCAGATGATTACCAGGAAGAAGAGCATGGGTGACAGGATATCCTTCCTTTACTCTGGTATTCACTGCAAAAGGCTTCGTGAGCTGGTTGTTCCCTATCATTGGCACTCAAAATTCTCATAGAAGGACTGGATGAAGTGAACCAGTTTCTGTTGGATGCTTTGTTGATGCAGGATTTTCCGGAGAGACTTGCTATGCAAGCTGTCGAAGCCTTCTCAAATTCAACAAGTACAGCGTAGGGTGTGCTGTTCCACTTGCGTGACTGCTCCAGGAGCTGCATAAGTACAAATATGTGTACAGGATTTCCCCTTTCTGAATCCAGCCTGTACCTGGAGTAGTATATCTTCTACGGAAGCTGTACTGCACTTTAATATGATGCTTCTATCGATAGATCTGATGGCGAGAGAGAGAGCTGTAATACAATCTAATGGTAATATGGCAACAATTTTAAGACCATATCTTTTAATATTCTTAACTTTTTGGCCATCTCTTTATGATAAAAATAATGTATACTTTAAAATCATATTTTTCTTTGGTAAAATTTTCATGATTTGCTCGTGGGAATTTGAATTCATGGATGAAAAATTATTGAGTAGTTATGTATATGACATTTTACATTTCGTGGTGGACATGAATTTGGCGGTCTCTTCATACCTCAGAAACAATGAAAATTACACTCCCACAAAAATTAATGATTTCACAGCAATCATTGAAATTACTGTCAAAACAACAAAAAATATAACACATGAACAAACACATATATATATGGAAGGATTTAATGACAATATATTTTCAGATATTTACAAATCTTGAACTACTACATGCATGTTACTAAGGATTAATTAGATAACATTAATTGTTTCTTTTGTCCTCTTCACTGCTGTTCTCATCTGAGTCACCATCACCACATTTCTCCCCAAATATAATTCTACTCAACAGTTTGTGTTTTTTATACAAATAGCTACTAGCCACAACTGTTGGAGGTTTTTTACGTTTGGCTCTACTACTGCTAGAAGATCCAACATTTCCTAAACTCAGCTTCTGTTCATAAATCTCAATTTTCCCTCTAGTATGATTGTGGAAATCTGCGGTGTATGTTTGCATGGTGTCAACCAATCCTGAACTTAAATACTTGTAGTTAACAACAAGCCAAGAAATGAGAATTGCTGCTAGACTGAACTTTCTACAGTCCTCTTCTGGTGAATCAAATAAAGGTACCCTTGTACTCTCCAACAGGACATCATGCTCTGCATCGTAAAACATGATTGTCATTTCAGATATCCCTACTCCAACTGCAGGTGTTAGAAAATTACTGTATTCTGGATGTTTCTGCTTCTGTAAAAATGAAAATACAATTGTCTCTGCAATTAACTGTGAATTCTGGGATGAAGCATTTGATGTCTGTTTTTCTAATAGAGAATTTTCAGCAGCAGTTTTAGAGTTCTCCTCTGGCAATTCAAAATGTAATGCTAGATTGTCATTGATAATGATGTCCATATTCCCATGCCAAACCTCACTGTTTCCTAAAAAGGGTCAATGTAAAAGTTTTCATAAAACTTTAAAACAAGAATAAAATGCCATTCAAACAAGAATACAATCTCACTCAATTGACTTCATACAACTGAAATCTACAGCTACTGATAATAATAAGTAAAGCACCTCTTCAAAGTTATGGTATTAACAATGATTAAGATATCATACACCACTTTACTTGACATTTACCAACACTTGTGTCTCCCAATGCTCCTGTCAGCTGGCAATCAGGATAGCTACATGGGCAGTTGTCTTTTCTCTGATCATCACACTCTTTGTTAACTGTATAGTGAGGTGATGTTGACAACTTTCCAAACAAGTGATTTGTCATCAACTTGCTCAACTCTCCCTTCGTCATTTCGTGTAAGTTAGTTGTTGGTATATCATCAGCTTTAAGATTTAAATGAGTATCCATCAGTTCAAAACCTTTTATAAATAGCAATCTTTCTCAATATTCCACAAAATATGATATGAATTGTCTTATCATGCATATTATATTTTAGGGCTGTGATGATATATCGAGATATCAATAATATCGATTCAATGTGAGGATGATACGCATATCGATACATATGAAGAAATATCGAAAAATCGCCCACAAAATCTGACTTATGTTTTTTTCTTTGTTTACTTAACATTTTGGGTTAAATATATAAAATATTTATGCAAAATATAAATATGAATATGAAATACCTAATAATAAACACCACTTGTGTAAAATAATTTTGTTTTACAACAGATATACAACTTCTTTGAATAAATTATTCTTATTTGTGAAGAAATGTTTTGTTCATTTCAATACAAATTTTTTTTTTATAAGTAATTCAACATATCGTGATACATATCGTATCGTGGCTCAAATATCGTGATACATATCGATATAGAAAATGTTGTATCATCCCAGCCCTATTATATTTAATCTCAATACATGTAGTTTAATACAGTTAATTAAATTGGTTAAACAGGTCCAGCACAATCTCTTGTTTTAGCTATATAGCTTGAAATAGCTATATAGCTTTATTAAGCTATTTAAGATAGCTTGATAAAGCTATTTTTATGCAGTTTTTCAGAAAAATATTTTTTGTAAGAAATAGACAAAAAGTTGCATGTATTTGACTATTCATAATTGTACTATGGGCTATTAAGACAACAAGAAAAATCAAAGGTAGTTCTAACAATTTGCAGCATTTGAATACTTTTAAGCAAAAGATGAATTTCCATTTTGGGTAACTGTACACTACCTTGTGTGCACTGAGGTGTGGATAAGTATGATTGCTTCTCATTGTACTGAATTCTTACCAATCAATTATCTTGTTGACCATAATTGGCCTCCTTTATAATTTCCTTGAAGAAGTAACTGTATCAATTGCTTTATATAGCCCCAAAACTTTTAGAACTTTGAGTACAAAGTCTCTTAAGGAGACACAATTTGATGACTTACTTTTACATGCATTATTTTCAGAAGAGTTCAAGGTTAAATATTATCACTGCACCAAGGTGCAAATTTTTGTGCATGCTGAGAAAAGTACACATTTAAGAAAAAGGTGTGATAAAATAGCTAAATCAAGCTATTCTGAATAGCTTAATAAAGCTATATAGCTAAATCAAGCTATATAGCTAAATCAAGAGATTGTGAGGCCAGAAGGACCTGTTAAAACCACAAAATAGCAATTAAGTTACAGTATACAATTACAATACATTGATTTTTTCATGATTTAAATGAAACAAAATATCATCATCCTTGCTTTCAACTCTTAATACCAATGTCAAGCATACCTGCATTAGAGTTCACATATGATAGCAGCTTATCAAGTACAAATCGTTCCTGTCTGTTTTCTGGCACTGCTTTGTTTTCTAAATACCCAATCAGAATGTCAATGCCACGTCGGAACACATCTCCAAACAAAAACTTCTTACTGGACTTTGCCTCTACCTCACAATATGCTTTAGAGAAAGACCGGTAGCTAGAATTTGAATCTGCAGCATTACAGTTTACAATTTTCATTGGCCTGAGTTGAACACAATGTTTGGATGCTTCGAAACAAAGACCATCTAATGCAATTGCCAATTTCTTGTTCATGTTATTAGGAAAGTCACAGAAATTAAGATCAATATTTGATGTTAACTTTGATCCAAGAGCTTTGACTAAGGAACCTTTGCCTAATGATGCTATGTCTGTTTCCATCTTGTCTGAATCGGGTTCGAACTACTAATGAGGGGCGATGTAAAAGTAGACATACAATATATTAATTCGTTAAAATTACTTTTAGCGTAATTTTGTCGATAAACTGTGAAACAAGACATTTTATATTTTTTTTATATGAAAAGAACATATTATCATTTTAATTACTGTATCAGCTTTTTTAAAAAATTGTATTTGTACTTGTTCACTTTTACCCCACTCCTGCAACTTTCACTATCATAATCATGGCATTGACTGCAGTGCAAAAGATTTGGCATTGTTTTAGAGGGCCTAAATTATATAGACAGCTAAGAAACAATGAAGGACAGGTGAATATCAGTTCTTTTATGTACAAAATTTTAATAAACCACAGATATAGTGCCAGTTAAACACTGGCATATGGCTGTAGCTCATGAATGTTCAGTAATGAGCAACAGGGTAATATGTTATATAGAAGATATTCAATGTTTTGTAGTGGGATATGGAATTTATTTCACAAGTGGGAGAAGATTTTTTTATATTTTCACTCGTGCTTTGCGCTCATGAAAATATATTAAAAATAATCCTGTCCCACTCATGAAATCAATTTCATATCCAACTATACAAAACATAAAATTTTCTGTTTATTACATTTTCTTTGATTTTTCCTTAGCCTCTGCCTTTTTGTAACAGTGTTATAGGCTGTGATGTTATATTGAGCGTTTGAGACTTCCTACTTTAGTGATTGTGAGATTGAAAACATTTTAAACAGGTTGGGCACACGTACCCAACCAAATGGTCATTTATTCGCCGTTTGGTGGAATCTCCCATATCGGAGACGAATTTTACTGACCAAATGGTGGATTTTTTTATTCTATTCCAAATTTTATTAATATAAAGCAAAAGCGCATTTACTTAGGCATTGGGGAGTTTTAGTGAACATATTCCTTGCAGAATTAACATAGTTCGGTCGATTTTCCATGTGCAATTTCTCCATAACTTCCTAAAAACGATACCCATAGTTGTCCGTAACAGCCAAACTTCTTTGGATCAATCGATCAAAAAATTTTCATTGTGTCTAGTAGGATAAAAATTCTATTTTATCTAGTGGTTTAACTCTTGATAAGTTAAGTTTCAATCGCTTTTTGGATCTTCGTCAATATTTATTTCCATAAAATCCCGTTAAACATGAGCTCCTCATTACTTTACTGGTATGGTGGGCACTTATTGCTATAAAGTTAAATTTTTCTAGACGTGAACGTAATATCTGTTGTTATTTTTCTTTTAGGATGAAGTTGCATATTCCATGCGACCTTTTGTGGTTTAATATGTATATTACTGATGAATTTAATATATTTGATAAATAATTTTCAATAAAAGATTTACAAAGTGACTTTTGCAATTATTCTTGTTTTCGTTTGAAGTACATCATTTTAAAACAATAATTATATCATAATCTAACTTCATTCACTATTTTTATAGAGAACAAAGCTATTGGGTACAAAATAAAACGAAATAAAGGCAAAAACTTATTTTTCTTTTGATTTCCTAATTGAAAATTGACACAAATGTGCCTCCGTAGTAAAATCCGACTTTTGACCACGTTAAAAAAAGATCATCGTTTTTATTGGTTTGCATTATGTGATTGGTTGCCCGGATAATCAAAATAGAAAGTAAAGAACATGATTGACAGGTGCAGCATCGTCGGAGAAGGAGGGAATTTTCTTTTTAAGCAAAAATGGAGAAACATTGCACTTGTTCACGTACGTGACGTTTTTTGTCAAATTTTTGCACGACTCTGCGCAAAAAATTACACTTTGAATTTCTGATTTTTTTCACTCAGAACACCGATAAATATCTATATTTTATTCTACATGGTTGAAAATTATGCGCCATTCCACGCCATTCTATGGAATTGAACACAACCATTTTTCTCTCCCAAATGGTCAGTATAATTCGTCTCCGATATGGGAGATTGTCCACCAAACTGGGGATAAATGACCATTTGGTTGGGTGTGCCCAACCTGTTAAACATCGATTTAACAGTATATTTGGAGAAACTTTGGCAGTTGTAGTCTCTTTCAGAATGGTTTATTTACTCTCTCTATCTTATAACAGGCCAGGAATTTTTTTTTACAGCATTCTTTCAACAGAACTCAAGAATTTTGCCACACATCTGATATTTTGTCACATTGTGATAGAGTATCACACTGATATCCTTTCACACTGTGACAGAATATTACTTTTATTCAAGAAATAAATGACAGCATATTTCACTGTTGAAAATCACATTGATATCCTTTCACATGGTGACAGAATATCACTTTTATTCAAGAAATAAATGACAGTTTAAAATGTAATAAAATATTATGGGAAGCCTAGATGTGTTGTAAATATATGATACATAGCATTTGAAAAGCTTGGGGAATATTGGCATTAAAGAGAGGGTTATTTTCATATAGTAAAGGTCTGAGGTGTGAATACTTATCAAAAAAATTTACAAAGGACTTCCTCCCTTTAGATAAGACTGGAGACAAATTGCAGATCATTCCTTAGCCAATGCAATTTCCATTTCAGTCCTGTAGGAAGCAGTTTCAGTTTGGAGGGGACACAAGCAAAACATTTTCAGTTTTATAAAATGCAGATAGATAGTAGATTAAACACCCTTTGTTACTTGTAAGTATTTGCCCTTTTGAACTTATTGTTATGGAAATGCAGCTAACATTTGATGTCATGTGACATCAAAGACTAGACCTTCCAAATGTCTCCTGCGGTTTGAAGAAGTGGATTTAGGTTAAAACTAAATAGGTATCCTGAAGTATACAAAACTGTGCTCACTCCAGCAGTTGCACCATCAACATATGATGATTTTTTATGCCCCCCAGATCGAAAGATCCCAGGGGTATATTGTTTTTGTCCTGTCTGTCTGTTGTCAACTTTAACCTAGCCCATAACTATTGCGATGTCAAGGGTAAGGCTTAAAATTTGACATGAGTGTTCATTGTGACAAGACCTTTCCATTGGTACAGAAATTTTTGATCATGTGACCTCAACTGTGAACTTTGACCTACATTTGAAAAACTTTAACATTGGCCATAACTATTGCACTATAGTCTACGTCCCACTCCAGAATTGTGTTACCATCGGGGGCATAGTGTTTCACAAACACATCTTGTTTAAGGATAGAAACTGAATTCTCTGCTGAACTTTCCATTGCAAGGCAGATTTACTAGGTTACTGAGGTACATGTTTCACTGCAAAATAAATTCTTACTAGTTAGTATCATTAATTCTACAGGCTGGCAGATTTAATGTGGATGTATGAGGGGTGAATGTGTTAACAAGATTATGGAGCCAGGGTATAAGTCATATATATATCCTAAACTTGACTTCTCTGCATTTATTTTGATTTCAGCCCAAGATATACCAAGCAAACTTTATTGAAGCAACAGGAGACAGATTTATAAGTGTTGTAAGTTTATTTCTGCATAAATTTCAGTCCGTATAAGAACTCTATAAGTCTCTCATGTATTGAAGAATCAGGATGCATACTTTATAACCTTTTGGTTAAATTTTGAAACTCTGTAATACCTTTATTTCTAGATTCAATTTTGTATGCCTTTTACGTACTGTTTATTTATAGATTCGATTTTGTATGTCTTTTACGTACTGTTTATTTATATTATAGATTCGATTTTGTATGTCTTTTACATACTGTTTATTTATAGATTCAATTTTGTATGTCTTTTACGTACTGTTTATTTATAGATTCGATTTTGTATGTCTTTTACGTACTGGACCAGTCCATTTGTGCTTGGTGTGCTATACCGACGGGGATATTTCTCAACAGAAGGTCTTGTCAGTATTGGAAAGTTTATGTTCTCAATAGGTGTTATCTACACTGTGGCATATATTACCAGAGGTGAATATCATTTAAATATTTATACTAGATTTTAAAAATGCACTTTTGCAGAAATTAATTATAAGTAATATGTCTTTATCAGAATGTTGTGTAAACATACTTATGAAAAAGGACTTAAACAGGAATAAAATATTTGCAGGTGTTGGTCGCTATAATAATGCTGATTACATAACATTCCTCAGTATACTAACAGCTACACAGAGGTCCTTAACTCAACAGAACAAGGTATATATGTTGATATTGAAGGGATAAAAAATTCCTGGTCTTCATTCTTCTAAGTATTTAACATATAAATAAAAACAGAATTCTAATACTCTTGTTGGATCTTTGTCTGTAGAGGATGTTAGCCAGATATGACTTCGAGTTTTGGGCGTGGCCAGTGGATTGGTATATGGGAGAAAATGGGTAAGTTGCTTATGATGAAGTTTAAAAAAAAGATGTTCAGATGTAATTTATGTCTTTTTATAAAAGACTAGAAAGTCTTATGTATGTATTGGTAAAGTGTCTGTTGTCTCAGTTTGTCTGTCAGTTCATAGACAATTTTTTTGAAATGCTATTCCTCTTACACAGTTTTGGTCCAATTGTAATGAATTTGTTAAACAGATGTATTAATTACGGGTAAACTGTTTAATAGTATATCTTTCAACCTTACTGAATTAAAAGAGAATTGCAGCGAACCTCTGTGAACAAATTTCTTAAGTAAGTGTTCGTCCAGTAGAAGACCTTCTTATTAATGCTTTAATTAAGTAGTGTTTTAGAAGTACCTTTTTAATGTTGTTTTAAGTTTTTAATTTTTTTTTTTTCTAGTCTGTGACATTAAAAGATCAGGGGCCCGTTTTACTTAAGAACTTACGACTAAGACCAAAATTTAATTCTGCTTATTACTTTCTAATTTACGTTGATTTTAAAATAGTTTTAATTTATTTAAAAAGAATTTATTAAGATAAAACAGAATCATTTAATTTGAAAATTTTACAATGAACTTAAGTTTTTGGTCTTAGTTGTAAGTTCTTTTGTAAAATGGGCCTCAGTTCACTATAGCCCTGTATGCTGTATACATGTTTTTAGGCACACTTTTTTTTTTAAATCTCTTATCCCAGTGAATAAGGTTTTTTTCTTTAAAGGGAAGTGAAGAAAATCCATCAACAGATTCCAAGGTCTAAACAAGTAGAATATTCACTAACCAATCTTCCTCTGAAGATTTTAAGGTATCTACTCATTTGACTCAATAACCATAACTCTTCACTCTATATCAAGGAGAAAATTAGTAGTAAGAACTACATATAGGTCTAAGTCAGCTGTACAAATATGAGTACTAGATTCTCTTTTTTTTTCTGTTCAAGTACAACTCAAATGATATGTTTGAGGAAGATCATAATCTGTACACTGATATTGAATATTCATACAACTTTGGTTAAAGACCTTGTTGGTACATGAATTGTACATTAAAGTTAACTATCTTGCTGTATATACTTAAGATGTAAATATTGCCCATTACATCTCTTAAACAGTTGTGCTGGTGTACATACTTAAGATGTAAATATTGCCCATTACATCTTTTAAACAGTTTTGCTGCTGTACATACTTAACGAGGCCAAGTCTAATTCTAGTGCGCATGACTTTGCGCAGCTTTTTAATTTCATGCAGCTATATGTGCGACATTACACCTTTCCCAAATATTGTGATTTTAATACAAAATTAACATTATCTGTAATGCCTATGGGTCTGAAATTGTGCTTTTACGAAAATAATTATTGAAAAAAATCATTGAGATGGCTCTAACAACGTCACTGATTCCCAATTTTGTAAGCAATGCATGACGCTGGAGAATGACACGATTCGCTTGTATATTCAAGACGTCCATGGATATTTTACTGAAACCTGTTGACAGAACATCAAAATAAACATACTAGCAATCTAAACATTGCTATTTTTTACCAAAATAATTCGTATGCACCGATAATTCATCTGCATCGATATATGCAGTTTTAGAGGTATTGGGCATTGAAAAAATAAACTTTGTAATAATTCCTACACCAACCTAGATGGTCAACTTTTTTGAAATTTCACAATTTGGTGACTTTTTACAATAACTTTCATGTACTTGGCTGAAAAAGAAATCTCTAGGGCAGAAATACAAAAAAAAAATATGGGAAAAATGTGATAATTTGATGCTTTTCCAGCAAGTTCCCATAGGGTCCAATAGTAAAATTTGACAACTTTTGAGATGGCCTTCTTAGAAATCGGGACGGTAATCATTCGATTTTTTAATCTTAAAACAATGAATATAATAGTAAGAATTAATTCAAGAAAATTTATCAAAATCTCTAGGGTAGAAATAATTAGACTCAGCCTTGTTAAGATGTAAATCTTTTAAACAGCTATGCTGCTGTACGTATTTAAGATGTAAATATTGCCCATTACATCTTTTAAACAGTTATGCTGCTGTACATACGTAAGATGTATATCTCTTAAACAGTTATGCTGCTGTACATACTTTTGGGAGGAGGATGCTTTATCCAGGAGCTACAGCCCTCATTAATTCATTAGTCGGTAAGAGATAACAAATATGCATTTCTTTGTGTAAAAGTTAACTTCAGCATCTTGAACATTGATATCTAGAAAACCATGGATATGCTGAAATGAGGTGATAGTCCAAACCACTTTTTCAAACTGTGAAAAATATCACTTTTATTTCACTGTTGAACATGTAATAACTTATTTATTACTGTGAGAGAATTTATATATATTGTACTTGTGTTTTTATAGGTCCTGTGTTGAGTCAAAACAGAGCATCTTTAATAGAAGAGGTGATATTATGTGTCTCTTGTACCTCATATTTTCTGGTAACCTTTACGTCATTTCTCTTCTATATTTGTTGATTATCATTTTAATAGAAAAATGGACAAAGAGCCAAACTTTTAGCAGCAGATGGAAATGAAATAGATACTATGTTTGTGGACCGGAGACACACTGGAAATCAGAATGGAAAGACGCTGGTTAGTGGATTTTAGTGCTGAATACTCTGCAAAAAAAATCGACGAATATTGCCTTATAGATAAATATTGGATAGCAGATAAAAATGCCACCTTAAAAGGCAGATTCCACTCTGCCCCAGTAAGCAATGTACAAATGCATATTAATGATATGGTAATAGATATTGAACTCATACATCACCATGTTGCTGACATTCAATTTACATTTCTTGCCATTCATTTTTTTAACGGAAGAAGAAAAATATGAAAACCTGCAATATTAAGAGCTAATTTCTCATCCTTTAATTACTTTGTTTAGATTGTATGCTGTGAAGGTAATGCTGGTTTCTATGAAATTGGTTGTACAGTAACCCCGTTAGAGGGAGGCTACTCTGTTTTAGGATGGAATCATCCTGGATTCTCAGGGAGCACGGTATGAACCACCTCCAATGTTCACATTATGAACCATCTGATTATGTAGAAAATCGGCATTCAATGCAACTCCTTAATATAGCATATACTGTGTACTATTTTAGGGGAATTTTACTGATTAAAACATTTTTCTAATGTAACATTCATTCAAGTTTTAATGTTTGAATGTAAATTGATATACAAATAAGTAATACAGTGTAAATGATTTATTATATAATTATTTGACTAATATTCCTACATCAGTAGTATTATTGTTAAAGATTTCTTCCTACATTTCCAAGAGAGACCACATGTCTTAAATATAAAGCACAATAACGTTGGTAGGGATGTCTTTATGTGATCTCAAGTATACCCTTTGTTTTTTCAGGGAATTCCCATGCCTTCTCAGGAACAAAATGCAGTAGATGCTGTGATGCAATATGCTATTAATAGATTAGGATTCACTCCAGACAATATAGCAGTGTTTGCCTGGTCCATTGGGGGATACACTGCATCATGGGTAGCAATGAATTACCCAGATTTAAAGTACATTGTAAGTTTGACATAGTATGTGTTTAATTAGGTTGCAAAATATAGTTATCATCAGTGAATATCTGTGTGGTAGTGAAATATCCCTACTTTTAATACATATATGTACATGTACTTCCTTACAGGTAGTGGATGCCACTTTTGATGATGTTGTTCCACTAGCTCAGGCCAGGATGCCAGAATACTTTGGTATTAATATCAGTTCTAATGTCAGTCAGTAAATTCTGTTACAAATAAAGTGTTTAATACTCATGCAGTAATAAAGTCAAGGACTGAACCCAATAGGGAGAGTATTGTATTTGTTCAAGAATTGTTTTTAGATAAAGTTAATCTCCTGCAGGCTAGCTAGATCTAGATACTGTCCATTCTGACTATACTCATTTACATATATACATGTTCATACATATATTTTTAGAGAATTTTGTGGAATTTACAGTAAGATCATATCTAGACTTAAACATAGCAGCTCAGTTAATAAGGTTTGTCATTTGTTTTCTTCCTGATGTTTTCAATTAATTAGTTTTATGATTAATTGTACTTGAGAATTCAAAATGAATTTGTAAAACAATAATGAATAAGAAGTGAAAATGAAAATCCATAACACATATGTATGCACAAGTTATTCTCTGTAATGAATATTATTTTCATTATGTTTTATAGATATTCTGGTCCAATACTTTTAATAAGAAGAACGCGAGATGAGATGATTACAACAAAGTGAGCATAATTCAGTATTTTTGTGAGCATAATCCAGTATTTTTGTACCATATACAGTATAAAATATGTGCATAGGCAAAGTAAATGGTGTTTTTTTTAAATTTGGTGAAGATCTGTGTTAGCCAATGCCATGATCACAAAATGTTTTTTTTTTTTTGTTTTTTTTTTGCTGTGTAGATCAGATCCCACTGGAGTCAAACTGTATTCAAACAGAGGGAATTATCTTCTCATAAAATTGTTACAATTTAGGTAAAAACACATACTTTATATTGTGAATCAGAATTGTGTTTATTTAAAAAAAACCCAGTAATTATGTCTTCACCGAAACACATTACTTATTGCTTTCATTTTAGATATCCACATATCGTTGATGACAGTACACTAGCCCTTTTAGCTGATTGGTTAGCAAGATTGAAACCTCAGCAAGGTCTGTAGTCTTGATTTCAGAAAAACTGCAGGGTGCACCAATTTATAAAATGTCATTTTATAGAAATTTAATTCTTAAAATAGAATAAGAGTCTTGATAAAATCTGAAGGACTGAAACGAAAGTAACTGTCATTTTCATTAACTGAAATTATTATTCACACTTTTGGACACCTAGTAAAAAGTGATTTAGACTAGTGAAATTTTGCCATTAGTAGACTGATTGGGCTAGCTCTGAAAAAAGTTTTGGTGCACACTGAAACTTTAAATTTTTGCAAGTTCGGCATTATTCTATTTAAATCTAATTTCTGATTTTGTATTATTGAAGCATACCTGTATATTGTATGATTTCCTCTTTGATATGAGATTTTAATCCAGGTTTGGGATAGAAACTGTCACAGTGTGATATCATTACTGATATAGGCTGGAATCTTAGTCCTTTAGGATTACTTGTTATACAAACATTTTTACTTTTACTTACCTTTTGGTCAGAAAGAGTATATACAACAAGACCTGAACATGTGTTTTTGCAATTTAGAATTGAATTAGCTTTTTAAAATTTCAGAGGACCTCTGGCAAACACATGAAGTTGATGAAGAGGAGTGTTTAGTCAAAATTAGATCCTACATACAAACTGAATCTGATACATTTCCATGTCATATAGGTAAATTGTGTTTAATATTCTATCATATTGATTTCTGAACATTCTCTTACTGCAATGAGATATACACATATCCCTCTCTTCATTTTTTTAATCTCCTTTATTGGGAGCCCCCACCCCCACCCAACCCCCTCTGAAAAAAATTGGGAGGGCTACATTACTACAGCTAAACATTGTTTAAAATAAAATGAAAAAAAAGAGTTTGCTCATTTGTAAGTGTAAAGGGAGCTTCGAAAGTTAATCATGCAGCATCTTGTGAAGTTGATCAGGCACATACATTTTGGTCGAGGGACAGAGCCAAAGAAATAAAAAATATTCAGGCCAAATTTGATGATGATATTTGAAAGCAAATTTACACCATAATATGATTTTAAATTGTGACTGCAGCTTTTACCAAAAGCTGTGAATAGAAATGATATGTTAAGAAACTGTTGTTTTGGATGTCTAAGTAAAGAAAGATTTAATATTGCTTTAATCATTTATTTGAAAAGAAAGCTCCTTCATTTTGATAAAAATAAGATGATTTTACCTCAGGAATGGCAAAGCTAGAATTCAAACCCAAATTTCACAGCTATTACGCCAGTGTACCGTAACTATGTACATATGTGTAAGTACTATGCTATTTACACTTTACACATACATTGTACTTGGACTTACAGGGAAATAGAGCACAGAATCAATCACTGTACCAGGGGAATTCTAATTTACTCTGAATCAGGAGAATTCTAATTTACTCTGAATCAGGAAAAATGTAATTTACTCTGAATCAGGAGAATTCCAATTTACTCTAAACGAGGAGAATTCCAATTTACTCTGAATCAGGGGAGTTCTAAATAGTCTGAATAAGGAGAATTCTAATTAACTCTGAATCAGGAGAATTTTAATTTACTCTGAATCAGGAGAATTCCAATTTACTCTGAATCAGGAGAGTTCTAAATAGTCTGAATAAGGAGAATTCTAATTTATTTTCTATTAGGAGAATTCTTATTTACTCTGAATCAGGAGAATTCTAATTTACTTTGAATCAGGAGAATTCTAATTAACTCTGAATCAGGAGAATTCTAATTTACTCTGAATCAGGAGAATTCTAATTAACTCTGAATCAGGAGAATTCTAATTTACTCTGAATCAGAAGAATTCTGATTTACTCTGAATCATGAGATTTCTAATTTACTCTGAGTTCGGAGAATTCTAATTTACTCTGAATCAAGAGAATTCCAATTTTCTCTGAATCAGGAGAATTCTAATTTACTCTGAATCAGGAGATTTTTAATTAATGAGAATTCTAATTTTCTCTGAATCAGGAGAATTCTACTTTACTCTGAATCAAGAGAATTCGAATTTACTCTGAATCAGGAGAGTTCTAATTTACTCTAAATCAGGAAAATTCTAATTTACTCTGAATCAGGAGAATTCCAATTTACTCTGAATGAGGAGAATTCCAATTTACTCTAAATGAGGAGAATTCTAATTTCAGGGGAAGATTACAGTGAAGAAGATAAGAAGAAGATGGTCCTGTACTTAGTAAGTAAATATTATTATACCCCCCACAAACAAAGTTTGAGAGGGAATATAGGAATCACCATATCTGTCTATCCATCTGTCTGTGCAAACGTGTCCAGTCCATATCTTTCTTATGGAGTAACATTAGAATCTACTACTTCACAGAAAGATTGCTTATAACCTGAGGGTGTATCATGATCTTGACTTATAGTCACCGTAGAAAAAATGGATAAATAATGCATCCATACTTTCCAATATAGAAATACTTGAAAAATTGTGATTTATTTTTTTAGGTCACCTGAGTCACTCAGGTGACCTATTGCTATCTGTTTTTGTCCGTCGTCGTGCGTCATCCGTCGTGTGTTAACATTTGAACATTTTCAGCTTCTTCTTTGAAACCGCTGAATCAATATCAGCCAGTTTTAGCATATGGCATCTGTGTGAAGGGGAACAAAATTTGTGAATATCATGGTCCCTGCCCCCCTGGGGCCTGAGGGGTGGGGCTAAAACCACCAAAATTAATGCAATCTTTAAAAATCTTCTTCTTTACTCCTGGACATCAAGCAGTCCAACTGTTGGCATGATTGTATTAAGCATTGAGCCCTCTACCAAAATTATGAAATTCATGGCCCCAGGGTCAGGGGTTCTGGTGCTAGGGTGGGGCTATATAGATCATATAGTGAAAGTGCATTGTTTCTTTGAAAATCTTCTTGTCTACTCCTTGGTATTTTTGAAACAAATTAAATACATAGTTATGATAAGCAAGAGTGACTCTACCAGAATTGTGAAATTCATGGCCCCAGGGTCAGGGGTTCTGTTGCTGGGGGGGGGGGGCTATATAGATCATATAGTGAAAGTGCATTATTTCTTTGAAAATCTTCTTCTCTACTCCTGGGTATTATTGAAACAAATTAAATACATAGTTATGATAAGCAAGAGTGACTCTACCAAAATTATGAAATTCATGGCCCCAGGGTCAGGGGTTCTGTTGCTGGGGTGGGGCTATATAGATCATATAGTGAAAGTGCATTATTTCTTTGAAAATCTTCTTCTCTACTCCTGGGTATTATTGAAACAAATTAAATACATAGTTATGATAAGCAAGAGTGACTCTACCAAAATTGTGAAATTCATAGCCCCAGGGTCAGGGGTTCTGGTGCTAGGAGGAGGGGGGCTATATAGATCATATAGTGAAAGTGCAATATTTCTTTGAAAATCTTCTTCTCTACTCCTGGGTATTATTGAAACAAATTAAATACATAGTTATGATATGCATGGGTGACTCTTCCAAAATAGGGATTTTCATGACCCCTGGATCAGGGGTTCTGATGTTAGGGTCGGGCTCTATTTATTATGTAGTAAAAATGCATTAATGCTTTAAAAATTTTCTTCTCTGCTCCTGGGTATTTTTGAAACAAACAAAGTACATTGTTTAATATGATAAGCAATGATACCTCTTCCAAAATTTTGAAATTCATGGCCCCATAGACAGGGGTTCTGGTTATAGGGTGGGGCTATATAGATCCTATAGTGAAGGTGAATTTTTTCTTTGAAAATCTTCTCTGCCCCTGGCAACAATGTACTTGAAAGGTTAATAGAATAAGAGAATTACGCAAGAATTTTTATTGTATAATACAAAAAGTATTTTCGTAGTTTTTATGATCAGGTAGACTTGTGAGTAATAGATAAATAAAAATGGAACAAAAATAACTTGTCTTATTAAATGTTCATCAAAGACCAAGAGAGGCCAATGTAAGAGATTTCAACAAGAAATTAAAATAGTACAGAAGCACTGATGGGCTTTTAATATACTGTATAGTGAAAGTGATAAATGGGAAACAGATTAAAACCTAATTTATAAACTGTCAATGAATACTAGATTAATTATTTTGTTGATCCTGATCACCCTATTTTTCTTGCTTTTGGGCAACAAAGCTTCACCTTTCAGTTCATTTTATACTCCATGGATCCTCTAAATTGTTGTATTATACTCAGGTGACCGTTAAGGCCCTTGGGCCTCTTGTTTTTTAATGTAATGAAAACAATGTTATTATTAGTATTGATGTTGTATAAGGATGAACCTTAGTTTCATTCATTATAAAAATATAATGAGCAATTGTCGGTAAATTTTCACTCTAAATGTTTAAACAAATTGTGAACACCTCTTAGATCCATCAAATACTAGTATAAGTGACTTGGCACCTTCTCTAAAAAACCCAGGGGGGGGGGGGGGGGGGGTATTTGTCCATCTTGGACAGTTCTAGTTGGTACTGTCCTTATAGTAAGTAGATATTTTTATGGTATATATAATGGGCAAATCAAGCAATTCCTGATTTCTTCTGTTTTATAGGCCATTGTAGAAATGAAATGCCATATATTCTAAAAGATACTTTTGTCTTTTCACCACAAATGAAATCTGGACAGTCATGCACATCCAGTAGATGTACTTGTAGTATTTTGGGCTGTTTGGTTGCAGATCGTTCTTTGATCTATTTTAACTTGCTTTGATTACTTGAAGGCATCAAGTGACATGATATATTGTGGTATATTTGTAGGCCTCACGTTATATGATAGACTTTGATTCAACACATTGTAACCCTTTGCCTGCATCACTTTTCAAAAAGCCATGGTCACTGGAGAGCGAAGATCAACCCAAATTTTTGTGACTAGAACTTCATTCCTCAGCGATTGCTCAAACCATGGAAAGATGCTAGTGACCTTGAACTATTTATATTTATTCACAAACTGAACTATTTTGCTGAGCAACAAATTCTTTGTCATTTTATACAACTTTTTAACTTAATTAAATATAGATTCACTTTTCAAAATTCTTTTTTTTAAAATATCCAATCTATGATATATGTATAGGGTATTGAAAACAAACTAGCAAAAGAAAACAATTAAAATGAAGAAGTCATAAATTTAATATCACAACAGTAAGAAAATATACACAAAAGGTTGTTACCCCAAAAAGTTTAGTAATAAAAATATCACAGTCTGCTCAACAAAGTACAGAAGGCAATACAGTTATAAACTGCCAGAAGTTAATGGTTTATCCCCAGTCAGGATGAATGACAAAATGGCGTGGGATGACGGCATGAGGACGGATATAGTGGGAGCTCCAGTTCTCCACGGGGTCGTCATTTCTGTACTCGGGTAGGTGGTGCCATGTGGTGTGCATCCAGCGTTCCCTTCGTGTGCCAGGGGACAGCAAACGAAGGTGGTTGAAGCGGGATTGTTTCTGGCCTGGAGTTCGTCCCTTGATGTTAAACTTACTAGTGTCAGCATATGGACCATTTCCTTTTCCGCTGAAATAATAAATTGATTAAACAATTAAATAGCATGATTAAAGACAGAACACTGTAACAAATGTTTGCAATAAAATTTCAAGTTTTAGTTTTTACCTTCACCCAAGATGTAAAACTATTTTGTGTGCTAAACAAATGACAAAGAAATGGAAAATACAGAGGTGTGATGGAATAGATATATGAAAAATAACAAGGAGAAATGTGCAGGCATACATTCACAATGGCTGATGGCCCGCATAAGAAAAGGCAAAATAAAGCAAGTGTTCATATATGGTAACAAAGGAAAGGGACAAGGTAATTTGACAAAGTTTGGCTACACATGAGAGGTCTAGAACTACAATAGAGGATATGACCAATCAAATACCGTAAGAAAAGTGGAATAGTTCCATCCTCGCTGTAAAGAAATTCCTCACTTTTATGAATATTATTTCATATGATTGTAAATTATTTTGGTTATAAAACACTGTAGTATTGATTTTCCAATTCATGATCTTGATTTTTTTAAATTTAAATCTGTGTACAGGTATTGACATTTATAAATTTAAGAATATAAGAGTTATTTATGAGGCTTACTTCTCTAAGGCATTGATAACTTGCTCCAGTCTTTTTTTCTGTTCATTGATGCCCTTTCCCATCAACTTCTCACCAGCAAGAGAGTTAAAGAACCTAAGAGCCACTTGGCGCTCTGAAAAGAACAAAATAACATAAATTAATTCAAAAGAAAATTGAAATTAAGAGGCTTCTTCCTGCATATTCAACCGTAACTAATGAAAAAAAATCGACAAGAGGGAGTACATTAAGAGCTTACCAGCTTCGCTGGCACCAAAGAGCCATTTATCCACCACCTCTTTGGCGTCGGGTTGTAAACTTTTATTTAGAGTTCCACCTAATTTCTGTCTTTTATCTGCCATTCGTAAAACCTTCTCAATAACCTTTCTATCTGCATTTGGTGCCAATTTCATCCATTGCTCTGCTTTATCTAGTACATGAGGCTGGAGAGAATGTCGGAATTCCTGAAAATAAACCATGTATTTGTTACGTACATGTACACTATGATTCCTTTTCTAAAGAAATTTTCCCTCGTTGTTTTGTTCTGTTTGCTCAAGTTCACATCTTGAAATGTATAGTAACCTCGCGTAATGTAAAATCCTCCTGTGCAGTGGTACCGCCGATATTGGTCATGCTTCTGGCCACCATTGGTACCCTGTGATGTATGTCGGTCTTACTTCTCACCATTGGACTAGATCTTGTGACGTCACCGAGTTTAGTGGGCGATTTAACCCCACCTGGATCTTTCCTAGGACTACATGATCTTAATCTAAGTTCGGGAACTAAAAAATAATTGTATCTTTATTATGATACATATATTATGATACATAAAACTAGATGTCCAGGGAGATGGTAATTTATTAATAAATTTATTTTTGAACAATTCCAATTTCAAATAAATCCACTCACGTGAATTTTGCCGATTGATTTTCTGAGGCCCTTGTAAACTGGTCAAAGTTCGCTTAATTGGGGAGGGTGCTTTAGGTGTAGGAGAGATATTGAGAGCTTGAACTTCCTCCTCAACTGTTTCTAATCCACCTGCTGCTAAAATAGGAAGAACCTCTTTTAATAAGCTTTTTTGTCAAATAATACTACAGACGTTTTGGTTTTTGTGCAGTTCATTATTTATTTGTCATACCTGGTTCTTCAGACTTGAGATGAAGAGGCGGATCATAGTGTTCGACTTTATCGTCCATTGAAGTGAAACGGGAGGGCATCTGCCAGTTATTGAATGTCTGAAAGATAATAATTATCTAAAAGTTGCTGAGGAATACTACTATATTCAGAACGATGTATATCATAAGGGCAATATGCCATTAGCATTGTCCTTCAACAAGAAAATACTAGTAATCTGGAGCAATTTTTCATTATGGCCCGTTCGTGATCGGAAGGCCCGCGTTCGATTCTCCACAGGAGTTCGCAATTTTATTAATGAAGTGACTAAAAATCACTCGATTGACCAAGCCATGAGCTATGCGTTAGCATAGCGAACAGTTCCCTATGATAACGCATAGCTCATGGCTTGGTCAATCGAGTGATTTTTAGTCACTTTATTGATAAAATTGCCAACTCCTGTGGATTCTCGTCCGCACTGCGTCAAACTTAAAAGACGTAAACATAGGTAGTGACTGTTCCTTCGCCAAGCGCCCGGCATTAGAAGTGAAAATCACGGATATTTCGGATGAAAACTTAAAAAACGGGGCCCTGTGTCACGGTAGGCGTTGACACGATATGGAACCCTCTCTGCTCAATGGCCATGAGTGCCTAAAGAAGCCCTTCACCGACATACAGTGACGTCTCTATATGAGTTAAAAATTCTCGAATGGGACGTTAAACAATAAACAATTAATCAATCAACCATTGTTGGCTAGATTTTTCCAAATTTTGTGTTCGTGTTTATATTTTGTGTTTCATGAGATTATGCACAACTGCTTCCAGGTATCGTTAAAAACAGCAATTGCCAATATTTAACACTTATACTTTGTAACAAACAAGTGATTCGAAAACCGATTGCTCTATATACATATACAGGTATTTGAACTCGGCATGAAATTATCACACTCATCAGTTTCATGAAAACAAAAATACCTCTTCAAATACAGGGCTGTATATTTAAAGTTTAAACCAGAAAAGAGCACATTTATAAACCGGTATTAAATCTGCCATATAAAACACAGCTGGGTGCTATAAAGAATTTGTTTGACATAAAATTAGGAGTTGATTGAATTTCCTTTCCGTATTAAAATTTACAGCATGTAGTTGTGCTTGTTGATGGGTATTCAAATAGGCTTAGAAATCACACAAAATATCGGCTCCATTGTAAAATTATGAATCATGACATAATTTCAACAAAAAAGAAAAAAAAAAAATCGTAAACTGGTACTTTTAACATTACTTTGTGACATCTTGTTTTTCTTATTTATGACATTTACACATATGCATTTAATTTTAGTGTGGAATTGTAACAATCTGCATCATTTATTTCCAATATGGAATATGTCCAGAAAGGATAATATGATCGATTATTTTTTGGTTTCTATTGTTTTCTATTGGATTTTCTATTATTTTCTATTGGATATCCTGAAGGATGAATGAAATGTACACAGAATTATCAGTACTGTTTATTAGCATTACTGAAAGTTGCCAAAACAATGGTTGGTCGATGAACTGCAATTAAACACTTAAAATGCAGAGTTTGGCAAATAAGAGAGCTGAGAATGTAAGCTTAAAAAGGCCCATTGTTTGTCGAAATACGATCGCTGGAGCATTATTGCAAACCTAGTCACTTAAAAAAGGTAGACTTCGATTATTAAAATAAGTACTGCTATTGTAAATACTTCAATTACACCTTACTCGATCTTTTACTAAAGAGTTTCATTTATAGCGGAGTTTAAATTTCTACAGAGACGGGCTTATTTCACAATTTAAATTTTAAGGGGTTAGTTCGTGTTTAGGCTCTTTTCAACATAAGCATAATGACCGCCATAATTTATTGCCTTGATAGACGTTTTAAAATACAACCTACTACATTACGTAATGTCGATCAAGACAAGGAAACATTAAATTCTACAGGCCCGTAGGAAGCAATAATTTCAGTTTGGGAGACAACCAACCTTCTCAGGGGGGGGGGGGGGGGGCTACTAGGCAAAAATTCCTTGACAGTAAAAACAAGAGGCCCATGGGCCACATCGCTCACCTGAGCACATTGGCAAGGCAAAAGCACAAATCAGTTCAGTATTGAAAAGATTACCGGGGGGGGGGGGGGCTTGAATTTTAAACTACCTGATGATGCTTCCATGTCAATATATAATTTGTTTTAACAAATGGCTTTGTTGTACTTGAGAAGATTTTTTTTAAAAATTCCCATATATTCCTCTGTAAAAATTTGATCCCCCATTGTGGCTCCTCCCTATCCCAGAGGTCATCATTTGAACAAACTTGAATCTACACTACCTGAGGATGCTTCCATATCAATATGACTAAACATAGCTTTTCTGTTCTTGAGAAGAAATTTTTTTCTATATGTTCCTATGTAAAACTTTCGATCCCCTTATTGGGCCCCACCCTACCCTCGGGGGTCATCATTTGAACAAAATTGAATTTACACTACCTGAGGATGCTTCCATATGACTCATCCTGGCTTTGCTGTTCTTGAGAAGAAGATTTTTAAAGGTTTTTCCTATATATTTCTATGTAAAACTTTGATCCTCCATTGTGGCCCCGCCCTACCCCCGGGGGTCATGATTTGAACAAACTTGAATCTACACTACCTGAGGATGCTTTCATATAAATATGACCAATTAAGGCTTTGCTGTTATTGAGATGAAGATTTTTAAAGATTTTTCCTATATATTTCTATGTAAAACTTTGATCATCCATTGTGGCCCCGCCCTACCCCCAGGGGCCATGATTTGGACAAAATTTGAATCTACACTACCTGAGGATGCTGCAATATAAATATGACCAATTAG